GATTTGCGACGTCACCGAACAGTACCGCTCGGGCAACGCGGTCGTTCGCTTGATCGAAATGCGCAGGAGGCGCGAGCAAGAAAAGGTATGTGCGAATCGTGAAAAATTTTATAACCTAAGCTACAGAAACTACTGAAAACTAGAAAAAACTATTAAAGGCTCGGTAAACCATTAATCTTCTTCGGGCATAAATCTGCCCAAAAACGACTTTTTAGCCTAGAACTAACGGATCTCACTAAAACAATAGTTTAGAAATATCGCCAGCCTTCCGTTCACCACCTCCTGGAGCCACAGATTCATCAAGCTCCGGCTCGACAGGCCGTCGCATAGTTCCGCCAAAACGATCCGGCGACGCGGTATGGTAGCTTCTTCAAAACCGCTTAGCGTTGATAAATACTTTCAGGCACCCCCAGCGCCCTTCCGCGTCCTACACGCCCCTGATGATCTTCTGGCCGTTCGCCGACTTCCCACTGCCGACGTCTTCAATCTCTCCGTATCCAGATGATATTCCGATTGCCATATCTTTGCCGTGGAAATAAACGGGTCCTAGTTTCGCGGATTCTGTTTGTAAAACAAGGTAAAATCATGGAAGATTTATTGACACCCGCAAAAGCCTAGTGATTAATAACACACAAAAAACACAGCAGATCGAGATGTTAGAAATGTAGCTGGGGAATTCGTATTCATGCAGTGCAGGGCGGCGACGAAGGGTGGAACAACTAGACGGCGGCCGCCTCATCCTCATCCTCGTTGTTCTGGCTCTGAGCACTAAACGGAGCATGAGATCAGTTCCGGAATCCCTACCGACAGAAATCGGAATCGAGACGAGTGATCGTGGGCAGAGTGCGGATCACGCGCGGACGGTAGTCCTGAAAAAGGAAACTGAGGATTAGGAAAAGAACATAATTTACCTCGTTCTCAGAAAAGGGGTTGTTCTCCAAGTAGACGAGGTCAATCTTGGGGAGCAACACCAATTCCTCGTCGACCACCGACCAGTCGGGGAGCTGAATCAAAAGGGGTTGAAAACCAAGGGAAAATGTACCTTGTTTTGCTTGGCCCAAAAATCGGTGAGGTTCTGGAGGTGGCTGAACCCGCGGGCCTCCTCGAGACTAAAAAAGGGTGAGTAAAAAACAGGGCTCAAGTCTAGGAAACCCCCCCCCCCAGCCGGCTTTTCAACTTTTCTACCTTCCTCATTTTTATTTTTCGTTATTTTTCCTTTTTTCGACTGAACTGCAATGTAGTCTTACTAATTAGCCTACGGCGAACATTTTGGTATACTTTAGAGCTCGCTAGCACAAAGGGGGCCGAGGTACAAAAGTTGGTGCCGGCTGGGGGGTTCTAGACTCTTACCAAAAACAGAAAGCAGCAGCTGAAAAAAAACACAGAAAATATTAGAAAAAACAAACAAAATACCGGTTGTGGTTGAGGTCAAGGATTTGCAAGTCGCGAAGGCCGGCGACCCCTTCGATACGCTGGATTCCGTTCTGCGCCAGGTAGAGCTCCCTCAGATGCGGCAGCTCGTCGAGCCCCTAAATCACAACGAATTATCTTCAGTAAAATGAAGCAAATACCTCCATCTTGGTCAAAATGTTGGCCGGCAGCGACAGCACGTCGAGGTAGAGCAGATGACCGACGTTCTCGATCTTGCGAATCTGGTTGGCGCCCAGGAACAGCCGGCGGAGGTTGATGTTGTTCTCCAAATTCTCGATCTTCTTGATGCGGTTGTCGCCCAGCTCCAGGTATTCCAGCGCCGTGCACTGAAAGAAAATTTGAACCCGAAAAACAAGACGCTGAACGTTTTCCAGCCCTTCAATCTTCTCGAGCTTGTTGTGCACCAGGAAGAGCGTCTCCAGGTTGACCAGCGTGGACAGGCCTAACAATAAGCGTAAAAATAGACAGCGAAAAGCAACCTTCAAGCTTTTGGATGCGATTGAAAGAGAGGTCGAGCTCGACGAGATTCACAAGCGTCTCCAGACCCTCGATCTTTTCGATCTAAAACGAGAAATATTATTGGAAGAAGAATGAAAAAGAAATACAAGAAAAACAAAACTGTCTAAATTTACCTGATTGTCATAGAGGTCGAGCTTGGTGAGCGTGGTCAAATTGCTGAGCCCCTCGATCTTCTTGATCAAATTCCAGCGCAGGCAAAAGAAGCTGATCTGAAAGCAAAAGGTAAAGAGTTCGGCGAAACTGCGTGCCTTCTTCAAAAAGTCGAAGTCCTCGATCTTCTTGATACGGCAACGGGTCAAATCCAGCTCCTCGACATCCGGTGAAACCTAAGGATAGACAATAACTAGAGTTAAAAAGCTCAAGATACCTCGATGACCTCGGGCTCCTCACCGTCGTCGAGGATTGGAAGCTCGTTGTGCAACACCGCGGCGGCCATCTTGCAGGGAGAAGATCCTCGTAATACGGAGAGTATGAGCGGTTCATCTTCCTTCACGAAGCAGCCGGAAATGTTAAACTTGATTTATGGAAATCGATTTTGCTTGTAAATTCGAGCTTATCATTTCCGCTTGGCGACGAAATGACGAAGAATCGTAAGGCGTTGCGAATCGTACCAAATTCTGCGATTTTTTGCTCAATCTCGTTTTACAAAAATTTATAAATGGAGGAAATAAAACGAAACGTCCAGTTCAAGTTTCAGTTTCAGCTTCAGCTTTTACGATTTCCGCTTCGTGAAGGTGGTCAAAAACAGCGCAAAATATTTCGAAACGTATCCTTTTTCGTATCGGGAGGTCCTCAATCTCGTCATTTTAACCTCGAATTCAAAAAAAAATCGATGTTGAATCGAATTTAAAAATTTAGATGTGGAAGAAACAAAATGAAACGTTTAAAATTCGAGCTTCCCAATTTCCGCTTCACGAAGCTTGGTTATAAATAGTGATGGTATTATTCAAATCTCAAATCTAATTTGCATCCGCCTAATCAAATCTGCCGGTTTGATTTGAATAAGGTTTCAGCACTTCAAATCAAATCGATTTGATTTGGACTTTCAAGGTTTGAGTTCAAATCTGAAGATTTGAACGAGGATTTGAAAGGAGTCGAAAAAATCAATAGCTCATTACGTGGATGCTAATTGTATTATGGCAGGCATAAACAAGGTAATTTCCGGTTCGCGCCAGCTCGGCCATAGCGATTTTGTTATGTTTTGCATGCCGGCATCTCCATAAGATTTGATTAAGGACCGGAAGCTTAATCAAATCCTCGAGATTTGATTTGAACTCGTCCACGGGATTTCAAATCAAATCCGCCGATTTGAAATTGAAATTTTTGCCTTCAAATATTCAGATTTGAGCTCTCAGATTTGACTCAGGATTTGATTTGAATAACCCCATCACTAGTTATAAATAGAGTGAGGGAGGCCTAGGCTAAAGCCTAGGCTAGCCTAGGCTTCCTCAGGCTTTTTTAATTTGCATCGCCTAGGCTGAGCCTGGGCTATGCAAAGTACGCCTGACCTCTAATTAGTCAGGCTTTATCTGGAAATTTTATGTAAAGTCGTATAATATTCGAAGTTTTGCCGAACAAATAAGGAATTTTTTTGAAACTTCCGGGGGTCGAAGAACTGTATTGGGTTCAAGAATATTCTACAAAGTTAGGGTACTGTTTTTGACGAACCTTACGGCACGATACGTTAATAGCACGCGGATACACAAAAGCCAAGAGTCGGATCAAACGGGCGGGGGATGCAATTGCCTCTCCTGATACCTTGCCTATATGTTTCCCACCTTCGGCATCCTTGTAATTTGTTATTACGACAAAAAATACCAACGTTTTAGATGCAGTAACCAGATTAACATGTTTTCACGCATTGCATAAAAAGCCTGCGTAAATCCTTAGGCTTCCGCCAGGCGTCGGCAGGCGCGGAAATGCAATTCGGCCCAAAAAAGCCTGAGGAGGCCTGCCGCTCCCTCACTCTAGTTATAAATAGAGTGAGGGAGGCCTAGGCTAAAGCCTAGGCTAGCCTAGGCTTCCTCAGGCTTTTTTAATTTGCATCGCCTAGGCTGAGCCTGGGCTATGCAAAGCACGCCTGACCTCTAATTAGTCAGGCTTTATCTGGAAATTTTATGTAAAGTCGTATAATATTCGAATTTTTGCGGAAAAAATAAGGAATTTTTTTGAAACTTCCGGGGTCGAAGAGCTGTATTGGGTCCAAGAATATTCTACAAAGTTAGGGTACTGTTTTTGACGAACCCTACGGCACGATACGTTAATAGCACGCGGATACGCAAAAGCCAAGAGTCGGATCAAACGGGCGGGGGATGCAATTGCCTCTCCTGATACCTTGCCTATATGTTTCCCACCTTTGGCATGCTTGTAATTTGTTATTACGACAAAAGATACCAACGTTTTAGATGCAGTAACCAGATTAACATGTTTTCACGCATTGCATAAAAAGCCTGCGTAAATCCTTAGGCTTCCGCCAGGCGTCGGCAGGCGCGGAAATGCAATTCGGCCCAAGAAAGCCTGAGGAGGCCTGCCGCTCCCTCACTCTAGTTATAAACAATGTTTCGAAACGGGCACTTTTACGTGTCGGTGTAGAAAATTCTGCTCTCTTGACAGGCAAAACAATTTATTTCTAACAAGCTAATTATTACCATGAATATGTGTGCGCGGGGGAAAACAACACGAAACGTTGACAGCGAAATGAGTGGATGTCTCGTCCTTCAGTTGGGGGGAGGGCGTTTCCCAGTTGAGAAACGAGTATACAGGCAACCAGTATGTCCGATAGATATGGGCGCTACAATTTTTGTGGTTTAAAGTTAAAGAAAAGTTTAGTGTTTTAAAGTCAAAATGGGGCCATTGTGACTAACAAGTGAGCTGAAGGAGGGTGGGAAATAAAATTCAGGTTTTTAGAGAAAATTTTTCAGTCAAAAACGCAGCTACCGGCCGCACTGAAGCACCGGGGAAGGGAAACAAACAGCATTGGTTTTTTTTTGGAGAATTCCTCGCAAAAGGCAATTTATAGTTTCATAGGAAATCGGAAATAAATGTGATTATAGCCCTCGGAAGGCGCGCTCGTTGAGCAGGTCGGCCAGCTCGGCAATCCGTTCTCGCAGCTCGATCTCGTCCCGTTGTGCGTTTTCCAAGGCTTCTTCGACTGCATTCTCGTCGACTAGTACTATCTGAAAGGTTTAGGTTGTATTTTGTAGTTTTTATATCGTTGTTTTATGGTTTTATGCTAGAACTGCCCTTTTTCATATTGTTTTAGAGCTAAAAACTGTTTTTATTGATTTTTTTTTTGCATTTTTGGTTCCGAAATTGCTGTTTCGCGTCGCAGCTGGCTGATTGGCTTCTAACTAGCCCATTCAATTAAGGTCCCCGCTCTTTCCTTAGCTCGTTTAGAGGCCAGAGTTCACCCCCATTTTCTCACTAGCAGTCGTTTGCTGTCGTTTTTGGAGTTTTGAAACAGAAAAATAGCTCCTTTGATGGAGCTTGAAACCTTTTTTTAACCACTTGTTTTTCCTAGCGGTTCCGGTTTGCCTATTGATCAAATATAAAGTGTTTTTACATTGTTTTTAAGAAGTGTTAACCAGATCTAGATGGAGAAAGTTACAGAAACGTTGGAAAAGTGCTGGGAAAAGGCGAAAATTTGGTCATTTTATTTCGAAAAATCAATTTTTCGACCTAAAATTAACGTTTGTAATTAAAATTTGTGTAGTAAAAACAATTTAGAAACGCATAAGGTATTTATAAAAAAGGTTTTTTGCAGGCTGAGATTTGTCCAAAGTTTTAAGCTCTGTCGAATGAGTTCTGTATGGCAAACTTAGACTCCTGACCTGTGGCTCGAGTGGCAACTCCTGATCGTCGTCCACCTCAACGGGAATTGCTCTTCGATCCCGTGGGAATGGTTCTACAATCTCGTCCTCATCATCGTCGCCTTCCACTGCCCATTCTTCGACGGGAACCAGCATTCCTCCGGGCACTCGTACCACTTCGTAGCCCTCATCTTCGACCGGGGCGTTGTACGCGTCGAGCTGGTGCTGAACGTACTCGCCGAGCAGCTCGAGGTCGTCGTTGCTCAGGCCTGGAACTGGGTTTTAGTTTTTGGCGTTTTTCTTATTATTTTTTCGTTTTTTTTAGAACAGCGGAAGTTTTTCTGGACAGTTTTTAATACTTCTAAAGGTTTTAAAACACACAAAATATCGGTTTTCTATCAAAATATGTTTCTAAGGCTTTGCTACTTCTGAACTTATAGAAAAAACGTTAGCCCCCCCCCCCCCGATTTTGCCAAAGCTCCGAACCGTTTCTCTAATAACTTCACTTCTGTTTTTCTGCGGATTTTTACTAGGGATTAGAATTTCACTAAAAAATACCAAAATACAGATTTTCCGATATTTTTCACGATCTTTCCGTTTTGGGGTTTCGTGAAACATAGGAGGGCTCTGCCCAGAGCGCTTTTTTTTCGGGACGGAAAAGAGGAGAAGCGTGTCTCCCTCCGGGCCGAGGGCTACTCAATTAGGGCCACAAATTGGCCCCAAGCGCTCCCGGGCGGACGGATGGACACTGCCCGCTTCGCGGTCCCTTTAATCAAAAATGCAATATATGAGCGGCGGGGAGACTGGGGAGAGCATTTCAATATCGCGATATTAGGCTGGAAGCGGAAAGAGATAAAGAAAATATCGACATACGAAAAAGTTTAGGGTTACGGTGCCCGAAAGCGGGTGAAGTTCGAGGAGAGTTTCACTCACTCTCTCTCTTTCTCTCTCGCTCTCTCTCTCGCTCTCTCCATCCCTCTCTTTGACTCTCTCACACGCTCTCTCATTCTTTCTCGCTCTCTCTCACTCTCTCTCACTCTCTCCATCCCACCCTTTGACTCCCTCATTCTCTCGCTCTCTCTCTCATTCTCTCGCTATCTCTCTCACTCACTCTCACTCTCTCTCACTCGCTCTCACTCTCTCCTCTCACTCCGCCTCTCGCTCTCGCTCACTCTCTCTCTCGCTCGCTCCCTCTCTTTCTCTCTCTCTCTCTCTCTCTCTCTCTCTCTCTCTCTCTCTCTCTCTCTCTCTTTAACCCAAAATTAGACTGCTGCTGTACGAATCGTGCGCTTCTTTCCCAAAAACCCGCCATACAATTTCGCCGCTTTTCTCCAGTTGACAAGCATCAACCGAGGGCTGCAGGGCGAAGGCCCTAATTTGCCCCCGAATGCCCCATTGCTGCTCTAATCGAGTGCTTCTACTGCACACTCTGCATTACTGAACATCCGCCAGGAATAGGCCATTTTGGGGAGGGGAACCCAAAAACACGGAGCACAGCTATGGTTAGGTAAGCGTAGGTTTTAAAGGGCAACTGGTAATTTTTGTTTTTTTTTCTATATGCAAAACGCACCGGCAAGCTGCGCCTCGAGGTCGCCGTCAAGTTCGGCGCGGTCGTCTTCGATGGGCACTTCCTGAAATTATTAAAATGTTTAAATTAATAATTTGAGCGTATTATAAGTTAGGTAAAAAAACGTGCCACTACGCTTTATTCGCCTTTCTAGAGCTTTTAAAAACGGCTTTTGCTGTATTTCCCTCAGTTTTCTACTGCCGGAAACAAAAATCCGGTGCTTTCGCATTATCGGGGGCGGGGATTTCGCATTTAACGTTAGGTATGTATGAATTTAATGTTGAGGCTAGATAATTCGAAAAATCGGTCAAAAAAGTGAATTAACCGAAAATATCAAACCTCAATGATCACCGCTCGCTTCACCCGCTTCCGCTTCGTCTCCTGATTGGTCGGACGAACAGCTAAAAGCCCTCAAATCACTATTGAAATTTAATAAAAATTTAGTGATTTAAGCCCAAATTAAGCGAAAATTATTACCATTAGCCTTCAACGACTGCAGTTGACGCGCCGTCGCTTTTTCCACCTGAAATTGACGGGTTTCCTTGGTTTTTTGATCTCATTACTCCGCCTACACCCTATAATAAGGACCCCCAGAACAGTGGTCCCTCATTTCTATAATGTTCACTGGCAGGCTATAGTCCTATAAGGAGACATGCGAGAAAACAGCTCTCCCTTCTTTTTTCCTTTATTCAGCTCCTCCTCGCGCCTCACATTTGGCTGACTCCAATTTCAGGCGGCCGGGGGGAGGCTGAGCAAGACGATGAAAGAAGAAGAAGTAATAGTACTAGTAGGCCTCTTCTTTCCCCATTCCCCCCGCCACGGAATTCCAAATTTCATTAAGAAGCCCCCGGGTGAAAATGTGTTCCTGACTGGTCGGGACAATTGAAAGACACGGAAAAATGCAAAGGTGGACGGCCGAAAATTTATTTCGAAATGTCGGAAAGTGATGGCATCGGCCTGGGTTTAAGCTTGGGCTTAGGTATTATAGGCTTAGGCTCAGGCTTAGGTCTTTAGGCTTAGGCCTCGGCTTCCGCTTCAGCTTACGCGTGGGCTTAGGCTTAGATTTAGGCTTAGCTTAGGCTTAGGGTTAGGCTTGGGTTAGGCTTAGGCTTAAGCTTGGGCTTGGGCTTGACTTAAGTTTAGGTCCAGGCCTAGGTTTAGGCTTAGGCTTAGGCTTAGGCCTGACTTAAGGATAGGCTTAGGCTTAAGCATCGGCTTAGGTTTAGGCTCAGACTTAGGCTTGAGCTAAACTTAGGCTTACAAGTCATCCAAAACATTTATTTTTATCAAATTTTTCGGACTACTCCCGTTCCACTCCAACATTCAGGGATTAGCCCGGCATTTTCGAATCGCTTTCGGGACCCTAAAAGACTAATTAACCCCCTGGGGGATTAGAAGCCCAAATTCTCCCCCTGCCCGGAGCCGGATCATCGCAAAATCTACGGATTCCCGCTCATATTTTCGCACGCCATTTTCCACCCTATTACGTCTGAGGGCGTGGCGCGGGGGACCGTTTTTTGCGCCGGAATTTCCGATGATATTTGAAAGGATTTGGGGGTGATTTTTTGCAGCCGCGGGAACTCCCCCCCCCCCCCTTTGATTTGACGCTCGTTTCACTCCAGGGCCAGGATCAGATGGTCAAGGGGGGTTCGCGGTTTTAGATATCTTTCCGGGCTTCTATAGGTGGTATGGAAATCTACAGGCTCTAAACTACAGACACAAACTACAGACTCCAAACTACAAAATCCAACCGAAATTGTTATCCCCGAATTTCTTATTACTATTTTCCGGCGGGAGCCGCCGATTTTCGCGGGTTCTGGCGGATTGTGGGCTGGGTGGGTGGGGATTGCGTTCTTTGGCGCTGTCCGGAAATTGGGTCCTTGGGCCCCGGGGCGGCGGAAATACGGGTTTTGCAGTCACGCGTAATCTCGGGAAGCGAATCGTTGAAAAATGGCAATTAGCGTGGGGGGACAATCATGGGATTACGTTTCGAAACAAACAACGCATGAAACTGCGTAATATTCAGATTTTTTAAGACAAAAGGTATCGATTGCTGCTCGCTAAAACGTGGATAACACACCTTTCCTAAAAATCTCTGCTAGCATGCTCTTTCCTAAAGAACCTCTGCTAGTTGCCCTTTCCTAGAGGATCTCTGCTGGCTGCGCCTTCCTCAAGACTCTCTGCTAGCCACACGTTAAAAAAAGACAATGACATTACGCTTTGAACTGTGTAATGAAGCATTTTTAGGTATATTTTGCGTACGGTAAATCGATCGTCACCACCATAAAACGTGGATAACCTACCGTAGGCGCAGCAGAAACGAGCACCGTCGACGAGACGAGCATACAAAGCACCAATCTGTTCATCATAGCAGGCTGAGATGATGTCTAGCCGTGTCTGTGTCTGGCCCTCCTTCCTCTCGGTTCTTACCTGAAAATACAATTTTTAAACGTTATAAAAATCTATCAAACAGATCGTTATAAAACAATGAAAAAGCGCCATTTTCTTGTTTTTAAGCCGGAAAAACGCGGTCAAAAAACCGCTCAAAAATCACCCAAATTTCAGGGATGTTTTAACAGCTAAAATGAGGCCGCCAGAAATGAGTGGCAGCTGAAAAGGGTAATTTACTCGAGCCTATTTACGATAGGGCGGACCCAATTATAGCCAGAAAAGGGGAGGGGGCCCGGTAATTTCACGGGCCGCAGGTAATCTTGTTTTCAGGCCCGCCGAAAAGGCAGATGGAATCTAATTTAGGCTTCGGATTACAAGGTGGGCCTTTTGGGCACGGAAAAGAGCTCTAAAGTACCAAGTAGGGGCAGGCTAGCAAAGAGCACTGTGGAGCTTGGATGGTTCTGGACTGTTAGCGGGGGGGGACCATTTTCTGTTTTTCCACCTATTTTCCCACCTATTCATGATATCTAATGTATTTTTATAGTGTTTTTAGTAGTTTTTGATTGCTAGACGGTCATAAAAATATTTTTTTGTTTTTGAAAATTCGGAAATTTAAAATTTTGAATTTTTTGGCCATTTTTCATACATTTTTTTGGCCACAAAGCCATCTTAGAAATTTTTTGTATGATTTTATATTGTGTTTCTATCTAAAAACTATATCAAATGCAATAAAAATGGTTTATATTTTCTTATAGGCCCATAGAGAATCATAAGCAAAAATTTGCTTCCCCCCGTGAACAGTCCAAAACCGCTTAGGTTTACTGACCAAAAATAGGCTGCCGATAGCCCTGAAAAACCCGCCTAAATGGCTGCTGTAGCATGGCCGGAAGTGTTTTCGGTAAGCCGATTTCTGAAGAGCTCGCCAAAATACGGATCACGGGGGGGCGGCAAAAACCGTAGGATCGGATTCAGGGCCCGGGGCTCCTTTGAAAGGGCGCCCTCCCAGCAAAAAAGCTCTTGGGAATTTTGGGCACTTTTTTGATATAGTCGCGCGGGTTTGTGACTCGATTAGGAATGGGAACGGGGCCGCTTGAGTCGAGAATTCAAAGGGATCCAAGATCAACAGAGCTGTATGAATTGGATAGAACTTCCGCAAAGAATCCCTGCTTGTATGCCTGGAACGGGGAGTATAACGGCTTTGAAAATAGGTTTAAAATTTGGGTTAAAATCAGGAAATTATATGCTTGAGCTACCTCAATCACGTCAAAAAAAATTTTTAGAGATAAGGGCATATTTTCCGCGATTACGCAAGGGACGTGACAAAAGTACAAAATGAATGGAGTAAAAACAAAGCTAGATCCCTAAGAGAGAGAGAGAGAGAGAGAGAGAGAGCGAAAGAGACAGAAAGATGAGAGAGTGACAGTGAGAGAGAGAGTGACAGTGAGAGAGATAGAGAGAGCGAGCAAGAGAGAGAGCGAGCAAGAGAGAGAGCGAGCAAGGGAGAGAGAGAGAGAGAGAGAGAGAGAGAGAGAGAGAGAGAGAGAGAGAGAGAGAGAGAGAAACAAATCGTCTGAATAAGATTAAGTAAGTGTTTTGACGCTTAACTTAAACCTTATAACTAGCAGACAAAACACAAAAAAACTCCAAAACCCAGATTACAGGAAATTAGACCCTCTAAGCCGCGGGGGTGGGCCAGCCGGGTGGAAAAAGTTCCAGCTGACCGAACTTTCGGTCCCGGAAATTCGCCAAAATCCGGTATATTCCCGGTCCTGGAAGGGGGAAAAGCCAGGGGCTTATACGCCCCAGGCAAAAGCCCTTCTGAACCCCCCAGGGCCCCTTCAGAAGACAGAAGAAGAGGGCCCAGTCTATATCTCGAAAAGAGCCTCCCCGCCCTCCCCTTCAGGATCGATGTTCTTCTGGACCCGGGGCCCGGGCGGGAAGGAAGGGGCGGGCCCTGGCGGCTTCTACTAAAAAACCCCGAAAAACAGACACCGAATCAGCGCCCAGGGACACTGGAAATGCTCTAAACCTCAGGGGCCTCCCCCTCTTCAACCACCAGCCCGACATTTCCATCTGGGGCCCTGAGGGCCAGGGAGAAAGACAGGCATTTGGGCCAGGAAGGCCTTTTACTAGGAAAGGTCACCGGCCAAATGGGCCACACGCATAAAAGGCAAAGGAATACTGACCAAAAGCCTCGCTCTTTTTCGCCATTTCCGGAATTTGGGGGGGGTGAATGGGAGGGAAAGGAAGGTGATGTTGCATCGAAGATGAAGAAGGCTAAAACTTCCAGGTGTTACAGGCTTAGGATTAAGCTTTGGCTTATGTTTAAGCTTCGGCTTGGGCTTAGGTTAGGCTTAGGATTAGGCTAGGCTTAGGCCTAGGTTTAGGCTTAGGCTTTGATTTAGGCTTAGGTATTTAATCTACGGCCCAGGCTTGTGTCTAGGCTTCGGCTTAGGCTTAGGTTTAGGATTTAGACTTAAGCTTAGGCTCAGGCTTAGGTGTTTAGGCGTCGGCTGCGGCTTAGGCTTTGGCTTAGGCTTAGCGTAGGCTTAGCTTGGATTTCGGCACGTGTTAAGACATACGCGTTTAGGTGTTTTTAGGCTTAGGCGTAGGTTAGGCTTCGGTTTCGCCTTAGCTTAGACTTAGGCTTAGGGTCAGGCTGAGTCTTAAGCTAGGAATAGGCTCAGCCCTTGGCTTACTGTAAAGTGTTTTTACTCACTTGGAGTTTCGATTCGGGACCAAGCGCATCTTGTGCAGAATTTTTCGCTGATTCCGAATATGTTTTCCAAATTTGCTACGGACTGTTATTTAAAAAATCATTTTTGGTAACAATTAGGCCGAAAAATGCCAAAAATTCAGACACTGGCCCACTATTCCTTGTTTGGGGCTATGGTTCCCAGGGGCCCTGAAGTACCCTCTGACAGCACCCTACCCAGTTGGCACCATGGTGCATTGGCAAAGTACTCGCTTACCAAGGGCAGGGCGGCGGTTCGAACCTCCCGCCCTGTATCATTTGTTTTGCTTTTTGCATAAAAATCTCATTTTTTAGCTAAAATGCTTGTTTTGAGCTGTAGGATGCTTGTCGAGCCAACGCCTAGTCAATTTTGACGTTGACATTAATGAAGAAAATCGAAAACTATAACGATACCTTCATTTTGGTGAAAACTAGGGTCATAATTACCGTATAACTTTCAGAGTCACGGTGCCGTAGCAAATTTGAAAAACATATTCGGAATCAGCGAAAAATTCTGTGCAAGATACACTTGGTCCCGAATCGAAACTCCAAGTTGAGTAAAAACACTTTACAGTTAGGCTTAGCTTAGGCTTACGGCAAGTTTATTTCTACGCTCAGGAATAGCATACGCTACGCTCTTCAATACCCTCTGACGCATCGCCCCTACACACCCGACTACGACTCGGCCCGGAAATTAGGGTAAGCGGAAGCAAAAATTTCCCTGTTGTGGGTGTGTAGTGGGTGATTTCGCGGTGAGGTCCCTCGAGATTCCACCTGGCCGGGGATTAAATTGTGAAGCTATAGAATAGGGCCTATTTTGACGGGAATACACACGGCCAGACCCGCGGTCAAATCAAAACGCGGAGAAGAAGCCCTAGTCTCTGAACTATGCCCACGTCTGCCATTCAAATGCCCTGGGGGCCCCATTTTTGATTGGTTAGGGGTTGGAGTTAGGCCTGTGATTGACCTCGTACTTTTAAAAAAAAGTGGAGACTGAATGGCTGTACCTGAATAGAAAATGTTTTAGTAGTGTGTTTACAAATATATAACCATAGTTCAACTAGAAAAACTATCTAAAAACTTTAAAAAAGTCGAAATTTTCGAAAAATCGATATTTTTGATAGTTTTAATACTAGTTTGTCAAGTTTTCACGTTCAGAAATAGTCAAAAACCATTTACAGGGTGTCCCAAAAAAAAGACCCCCCAAAAATTTGAGCCAGAGGGCACCTACGGAGCTGAAAATTTGCACAGAGGTAGCGAAGCCAATTTTCTATGAACAAGGAAAGTTTCAGCCTGATCGGCTTGCGGGTTTTAAAGTTATAGCGAAAATACTTTTCATTTTTAATTTAATATGGGGATCTTTGCAATTTGCATCAAAAATATGCGTTATTCTTGCATTTACGAGCCGATTTTGCATAAATTCCGCTGAAAAATGCCATTTTCTTGATGGAGCTTTTGGGAAACGATTGCTCGTGTAGCGAGAAAATGATCAGCAAGAACGATGAGTACCAGACCTCATGGCGGAAACTATCGTTGAACGCTTGAGCTTGGCTTAAACTTCAGCGTACGCGCCAACACAAGCCCAAATCTAAACTTCAACACTGTTTTCGAGCTCGTCGAACTCTGTTTTCGGGCCGACGAAGCTCAAATTGCCAAAATGGACAATAACACGTGATTTGGCTCGATAAAACAGTTGTTTTAACACTCTTTTTATTCTTCATACGCAATCGTTTTCCAAACGCTCCATTAAGAAAATGGCATTTTTCAGCGGAATTTATGCAAAATCGGCTCGTAAATGCAAGAATAACGCATATTTTTGATGCAAATTGCAAAGATCCCCATATTAAATTAAAAATGAAAAGTATTTTCGCTATAACTTTAAAACCCGCAAGCCGATCAGGCTGAAACTTTCCATATACATGGGAAATTGGCTTCGCTACCTCTGTGCAAATTTTCAGCTCCGTAGGTGCCCTCTGGCTCAAATTTTTGGGGGGGTCTTTTTTTTTGGGACACCCTGTATATTTGAAAACTTAGGCCCTGGAAAAAGTTTCTAATGCCCGCCCCTATAATGGAGATTGAATAGAACTTGAATTTGGTCTGACTGGTTTTTCAAAAACTTGCAATTCATAACACCGAACACCGAAGCAATTTCATAACGCCGAATTTTTCCTGCTAAACTTGGACTACTTGAAATGTCGCAATTACGAGTTTAACGTCCGGAATTCGATGATATAAATTTCGGCACTATGCATTTCTACATTCTGATAGAAAATCCTGTCCGACTAACGCTCGGGTAGCGTCCCGACGAGTAGCTAGTCAATATTCAGATGATTAGCTTCTACGACGCCGACGACGCTCGCTTTCGGCGTGCGCGCTCAAGCCTTTCTGCCCCCTTCATCGCTTGTTTTATCGGCTTCACGCTCACTTGTTATGCGTGTTGACGGGGGTTCGTGCAGCCGGGGCGGTTTATAGGTGGAAATCATCACCCCCGGAGGCCCCCGTAACAAACCTGCCTCCAAAAAATATTTTTCGGGTTCTGCAGTAGTTGGAGAGAGTGTTATTCTATGAAAAAAACTAGATACATAGATGCCTTTAGTAAATGAGTTTTGCTAGAGAAATTCAGAAGACTAGAGAGTTGGATGTTGTCTTTCAAGGTAGTGGTAGGACACACCTAGGTACCCTAGCTATATTACGGCGTCCGGGACACGCAACGGAAAGCACGGCTTGAACCCCGCGAAGATGTCGTAAACGAATACGCAATGAAAATTCTATGGACGTATCCGCGACATCAACTTTTTTCGGCGCAAGCCTAATTTTTTTATAAATAGCGATGCGTTTCTAGATTGTTTTTAGCTATCCCTAAGCATGAAAACTATACAAATTTTCATTAAAAGATTTAATTTTAGGTCGCAAAATTTATTTTTTCGACGTAAAATGACCGAATTATCGACTTTTACAAACAATTTTCCAAATTTTTTTAAAAGCTTTTCTACTTTAAATATAGTTAAGACGTACTAAAAACAATGTAAAAACACTTTATATTTGATCACTAGGCGAACCGGGACCGCCAGGAAAAAAATTTGGTTCCCTCCGCCCGTGAATCCTAAAAAAACCATATATTTCCTTTCACTTCCTTTAAAGTCTGTCCCTATACTAAAACTTACCCCTTTTCATTCACCACTTCTACCCACTCCACAACCGCCTGCATTTGTTTTTCCGGACGCCATTTGTAGTGCCGTGAGCAAAAATCTGCGGAATCTACCCCCGCGGAGACCCCGACCCGGGGGAATATGATTAGACATTCACGATATACCCACATAAAACGAGGCGAGATAGGCCCCAAAAATGGGGGAATCTAATTCTACGGGAGCCCCTACATTCCAGACCCCCTTCCCCGCTTCCCGATTAAGTAATGGGGGGCCAGTCTCGGATTTTGGGCGGTGTTCGACACCCGGAAATCGGGACCTATTAGCTGGCTATAGCGAGTTCAGTGAAGAAAAGTATCAGGAGTGTACAGAGTGTCCCGAAAAAACCCCTCGGCCTTTGGCGGCCGTCAATCCAATCGCGACCAAATTTTTACCAGCGATGGCGACCCATAAAAACTATGTACAGTCGAATTTTCTAAGCAAACTATTGTACAACAAAAAGTTATATCAAAATTAAGGTTAGTTTTGCCGAATTCACTAGGATTTTCACGAATTTCGGCCTCGAAATGTTTAGCAAAAATGAAGAGCTCACGTTTTTCCACCCCGAGAATTTTTTTTCATTTACAAGAATGAAATTGGGACTTTCTATCACTTCTTATTAAAAAAAATTGGCAGAAACCGACCAGAAAATGACCATTTTGGAAAATTAGTCAAAATCGGCATTCTGTTCGCGAAAAGATCGCCAAACATGAGTACCAGCGTTTCCGAAAAAAAATCAGTTTTTGAGCAATAACTTTTTTGTTTTACAATATTGTGCTTAGAAAATTCGGCTGCACATAGTTTTATGGGTCCGCATCTCTGGTAAAAAAAATTGGTCGCGATGCGACGGAAAAAAAAGAAACTGGAAGGGCGGATTTGATTCGATCGATTGCTGCATAATGTATCTATCAAATCTATCAAGCATTTACCGGCAAAAATTCAAAGATACTTTCAAAATCGGATATCCTATTTTTGTCGTCGTCGGTGGTTTGTTTCGGGTCGTAAAGTAGGGCGTGGGCTCCGAAATTCCGCGCGGCTTCGTAGTCTTTCCGTGGGTGATCACCTGCAAAAGATATACTCCCTATAAAAAGACAATTTTACCGATATGAAGCAGCTCGGCAGGGGTGGCCAGTTTGAAATGGTCGATGACCGTCTGGAAACAATCAAGATTTGCATTTCAAATGCTTCGGACCTGAAATATTCTGGGATCCGGCTTGTCGTGGCCCAGCTCGCCGCTCAATGCGATGTACTCAAAGTAGTCGGCCATTTTTAGAGACTAAATTTGAAAACTTTTTATCGGCTTTGAAAATCCTACTTTCAGCAAGTCACGAAGTCGCCCGTCAAAATTCGAGATAATAGCGAGCGGAATCTTTCGCGCGCGCAGCTTCTCGAGCACCTCTGGGATCTAAAGAAAATGTAAGCTATGCTAGAAATTATAAAAAGTATTACCTTTTCGTCGCAAGGTTTCCAATGCTGCGGGTCCTTGTAGTACTCGTAGAGAAATTTCGAGAGCGATTCGAGCTTTGCTTTGCTCGGCGGCGATTTGGCGCCCTGGAATTAACTTTTTATGAAAGCAATAATCACTGATTTCACAAGCAGGGTTTCTATCTTTAAAAAAACCGTACTGCTTGTACTACGGCGTGGATGAGGTGGGCCCACCATCGCTCAGCACCCACGGACGAGTGCCCGAATCCCGGGAATTCGTGCGCTAGCCGGGAGAAAGCTGATGGAAACGCCGATTTCACCAGAGATTCATCTACCTGCAAAAGGGGGCGTTTCAAAGAGCTTTTTCCGAGCGCAAGGATTCCCGGGTCGAATAAAAATGCTAGCCTACGCAAAATTTTCTGATTTCCAAAGAGCAGTAGGACTCGAGCCGTCACTGTTGAAGTAAAAAAATAAGTACCTGAAGCCCCATCTTCTCGGCTTGCCTGCTATAAACGGTGGCCGGGCTCTCGCGCAACCGGATCAGCGTGTCCATCGCGTCGAAGGAGAGCACCTAAACGATTTTTACGAGAATATTTCGCGGAAAAATCCTCTACCTTTATCGCCAAGCGTTGCCGCGTGTGGATTTGACGTCGTGAGATGGACAACATTACAAAAACTAGTGATTTTTGTGAAAATAGTGCTAACTTTTTATAACTTTGTAAATCCCGTATTTGTAAAGTTTTTTTTATTTTTTCATTTGACAGATTTCTCGCTCGACTACGCGGAGGTCCAAAATACATGTCGTAATGGAATGAAGCGAGTGTAACTAACAGGCGGGTTTTTAGCCCTCAGGCAGGTTGATTCCCGGGGCGCGCAATAGCAGTGACAGCCTTTTAGGTCGCGTAATGCAACTGATTACTCGATGTTTTGTTGAAACAAAAACTATTATATATAATATATAATATATATACTTATATATAAGTGTGAGAAACTATATTGCTTTGATCGCAAGTTTATTTTATTTTACAGGTACAGCTACAAGAATAGTATAATCACATGCACAACGGCCGATTGCTCGGGTCGACGCTTTACAACGGGGCGCTAAATCTTTGCTTGCTTGTACGTATAAAACCAAATATTTTGGAAACAGCAAGACGCATCACACAAGGGTGCATCAGGATTAACAGGGGAATTCTAAAATCAGTTCTGACTTATGACTTTAGGGTATCCACTCAAGAAGCTTTCAGGCCACACTTTCGAGCGATACACGATGAAAAGTAGGGTTTCCTGAGTTCACATAGGTTTAAGAAGCGCAATTATGAATCGAACAAGGTTGGGCTGAGAAACTAGGAGGTTTTCAACAAATAGACCAAAACTATCCAAAACTAAGCCACTTCTTTCTTTCCAAGGCGAACTTCCTGTAAGCATAGTTTTAGCGCTGATCTTACGCTGTCCGGCAGCAGGAGAATTCTGAACAACAGGCCTGCCTTGGTTCCGGTTACAACAAAGCATACTTTTACAAATATGAAATACTTTATTCAGAGTGGTCGTCGAGTCCGGAAAGGCATCGGTAAAATTTTGCGCGAAGCATACATAGTCATGATTTTGGCCCAAATTTTTTTCCGTTGATTGCACCCGTGCTGTCAAGCCGAGAAGCTAAAAGGCTCGACAAAATATATTTGATAATGTCTCCCTTGCGGATGCGTCTTGCTTTTTCTAGATATTTGGTTTTATACATACAAGCAAGCAAAGGTTTTATCGCCCCGTTGTAAAGCGCTGCCCTGATCATATATACAATGAGCCGTCGTGCACGTTATTATACTACCAGATGGTTACAGTCGCTTCGCGACTGCAACCATCTGGCCTTCGGGCTACCCTACATGTCCCACTCCACCACATCCTTTCCCACCTCCATCAATACCCCCCATGGCTGAAATCCCCTTCAAAAACTACCTAAATACCTTCCCGATGGCTTTAGATACCCCCCATGGCTGAAATCCCCTTCAAAAACTACCTAAATACCTTCCCGATGGCTTTAGATACCCCCCATGGCTGAAATCCCCTTCAAAAACTACCTAAATACCTGCCCGATGGCTTTAGATGATTTAAATAATTAATTAACATAATTAAAAAGTATTAAAAAGTATTAAAAGTATTAAAAAGTATTAAAAGTATTAAAAAGTATTAAAGTAACTTAAGAAAGCTATCTGGGCGCGGGAATGGGCCTGGGGAAGAACGGGGAAGGGAAAGGGGGCGTGGCCTCCCGGGAGAGGGGCCCCCACCCCTTTTACTAAGGAAAAAACTTTCAAAGTTAATTTTACAAATTTAAACTAAAACTTTTTCATAATTTTTTATCAGTTTGGGGGTTTCTGAGGGCGCTCTATCCGAATCCGAAGAGAGCTAAGCTCTAGCTCCTTTCCCCTTCGAGTTGAATCTGGGACACGACAGACAGACGGACGCGTCAAGAAAATTATTATAGTTGATTCTTGCCGTTAAAATAAACTTGCGATCAAAGCAATATAGTTTCTTACACTGATAATAGTTTTTTGTTTAAACAAAACATCGAGTAATCAGTTGCATTACGCGACCTAAAAGGCTGTCACTGCTATTGCGCGCCCCGGGAATCAACCTGCCTGAGGGCTAAAAACCCGCCCGTAAGTTTTCAAGAAACAGTAAACACTTTGAAAACTTTTGAAATAGTTATTCTATTTATCTTTATTACTAGTTAGAAAGAATATTATTCTTTTCCCCAGTTGGTTATGTACACTATTCCTTTTGCGCGCATATCTAATGCAATTTTCCTATCTATTTCCTTACAGGTATCATCCCAATGCGACTTTCACAGCGTTTCCTTGGCCTGGTACGAGGGCGAGACGGTCAAGCCGAATGGAAAGAGGTCTGTACAAATTTGGCTTGTCAACTAATTTTTTCCAGGTCAGCCAGCTGCATCTCCCCGACGGTGGCAAAAAGCTACGATTTATCACGGTTTGTGGAAGATTTCTTTGCTTATTTGGAGTTATGTTTAGAGGGGTCACATGATTGGCGCGGCGGTGTTTTTCTTCGTCGGATACGCCTACATCAAATCGGTCATCAACCCAGACTCCATGTGGGGAAGTGAGTTTTAGGTTAACAGCTTACTTCGAATTTCAGTAGATATATTTTTTTATAATGAGTAATTCGTTAGAAAAAAGCTACACCGTTCCGGTGTTGCTACTCTTATAAATTACCTTTTTATGTGTAGGTTTTCCGGCAATATCTTTTTTTTCAGAGGCCGTCAATAGTATCCACGAACAGACCGTACAATGGACGGACACGCGGAGTGAGGAGGAGAAAAACGCGCCGAATCTCGACCGGCTGAACAGCATGAAGTAGGTCGCGTTTTCCCGGTTATATTATTTGTTTATTATCAGATGATGACCGGATAGGAGCGCCAAAAAATCTCGACTTGGACGGTCAGGAAATTACGAGTGAAGGAAAAGGCCTGAATAAATGGATTCGATTGCAATTTTTCGGTTGGCACGACATGAAATTTGAAAATTTCTCACCAGGTCTTGACCTTAATTTGGACTTTTCGTTCAAAATCCATTAAAAAATACAGAGAAGAAGTAAAAATATTCTAATCCTGAGAAGAAAATACTTCCACTGTATTAATAGGTCAAATGTATAATAGCTTTATTAAATATGCGTGCGTGTTCAGATCAATGACTCGTGTACCCGCAGGAAGTCTTTCCGGTTGTAAGGATCGAAGCCCAGGAATTCATGAAGCCACAACCTAAAGCTCGTGAATTTGGTGTTTTCTTGGATCCTCTCCCTCTCTCTCCCTCTGTCTCTCCCTCTCTCCCTCTGTCTCTCTCCCTCTGTCTCTCTTTCTCTCCCTCTCTCTCTCCCTCTCCCTCTGTCGCTCTCTCCTTCTCTCCCTCTCTCTCTCTCTCTCTCTCTCTCTCTCTCTCTCTCTCTCGCTCTTTCTGAGTGCCTTGAGGTATTCCCATTGTATCAATGACCTCTAAAACGCATCTGCTCAATACTACGGCCATTCAAATCCGATTGCACCGTTCACCATTATCATTTGATGGCTAAGCCTTGTCACCAGAGACCCTTTCGTTTTTTGACGAGCAGGTTCATTCCCCGCACGCACTATTTTCACTTCCGAGCCCCTTTAAGTATTCTGGCAAAGGTAACAATGGTCGGATTCGTTTCGGTTCGTCAGATATTTCAGTGTAAATCACGTTCTGTTTCCTGCTCACCCTGTACAGTAAAGCCGCCTGCCCGCCACTGCGTTCAATTTCCCGCATTGAAATGAAGAATGTTTAGATGGGTGGAGGACAAAGCCGCGGCGGTCACGGCTACCGCTTCTTCGACCGGATCGTCTACTCGCGAGATGGCCGTGGAAGCCGGTAGTTTCCAATGAATCTCGAAAATCAGAATAGCCAATTTTCAGAATCTCGAAATTTCATAATCTCGAAATTTGAGAATCTCGAAATTTCGATGGTCTAAATCAGCATTAAAGGCTCCGGAAATTGCACGCCTACGCCCTGAATCCAGCATAGGCATATTTCGAGATTCTGAAAATTCGAGATTCTGATTTTCGCGATTCTGATAGGAATTCACGTAACGTTGTATGAATGAATCCTTCATGTGGAAAACAGCACGAAAAACCACGATGCTGTCATGATTTAGAGCGGATGATGCTCCTCCTCCTCATCCTCCGACTCCCGCCACGAATCATCGATTCGCTTACACGAAATTGGACCGGCGACTACAGCGTCTCGTCAATGCTCACATCGCCTTCAAGGCAAAGTTACGGCTGCGCGCCGCCACTAAGGTATTCGCCCGCATTCGCTGACTGTTAAGGCCCTTTTTTGCTTCTTTAGCGGGGGGGAGTATTCCCAGGGGGAACCACTTTTTTTCCTTTTCACATTGTTTTCAGTAAATTTTAACTATAAGAATATAGTAGTGGTGTCTGTCTGTATGTCAGAAGCCAACTATAACCCGAAGGGGAAAGGTTGTAGAGCCTAGATCTCTTCGGATTTCGAGAGAGCGTAGTCAGAAACCCCTTAAATGATCAAAAAAATTATGAAAAAGTTTTTGTTTAGATAAAAATAATTAACTTTGAAAGTGGCGCCTTAATAAAACGAGTGGGGGCCCTCTCCCCGGGAGGCCACGCCCCCTTTCCCCCGCCCCCCTTCTTTCCGCAATATTATTTTTGTTGCTTAATTCGTTTCTGATCACCCTCTTTCTATTCATATAGCAAATCCCAATTTTGAGCGCCAACCATAAACCGGTGTCGCCCGTACCCGACTTTATGGTTGTCAGATCGCAAAAATAAAACATCGATTTCAACCATAAAAAGTGTCTGCCCCACCTAATTTTTGATTCTAAACCCGTTTCCTACATTTATTTATACATTCCATTACATAAAACCGCTTTTTGGGCGACAACCATAAACCCTAATTTTCCCGAAAACTTTGGAAAAGTTGGAAAAATGTTTGAAAAAGTCGAAAATGTGGTCATTTTGCCCCCCCCGCGAATCCTAAAGGTTCTACCGGATTTTGCGACCTAAAATTTAATTTTTTGATTAAAATGTGTGTAGTTTTTATGCTTAGGAATAGCTAAAAACAATTTAGAAACGCATCCGCCATTTATAAAAAAATTTAGGCTTGCGACGAAAAAAATTCGGAGATTTCTAACATTTATTAACATTTTTTGCGAAAAATGCGAATTTCCTGATGCTTTTCTGACCAAAGGTTTTAAGGAAAGGAAAAAGCGAAATTTAAGGTTTTTTATGCCTTCCCTGGCAGCCCAATGACAGCTTTTTGATGTCATGTGCAAAAATGTGCTGTGTGATGCTGTGTGATGTAAAATGTGCTTAAAACGGCTAAATTGAGTTTTTGCGCGAATAAGCGTGACATTTTTGAGTGACGTTTCCGGCATAGCAATAATCGGTGAGACGTACTGGACTCGCCTTACCGAGAGCTTTCAGATACCTAAATCGTAACAATCGGTCAGGTTCTTTAGGATTTCCGGGGGCGGGCGGATCAAATCTTTTTCAGCATAAGCCTAAATTTGATTATAAATAGCGGATGCGTTTCTAAATGGCTTTTAACTAGTCCTAGGCATAAAAACTAGATAAATTTTAATTACAAAATTTAGTTTTAGTTCGAAAAATCCTAAAGAAAGACCGATCAAGCATTTTTCTAACTTTTTTTGAAGGTTTTTCTACTTTAAATGTAGTTAAAATCTACTAAAAACAATAGGAAAACACTTTATATTTGATTACTAGGTCATCCGGGACCACCAGGAAAAAAATTGAACGCGCACTTAAAAACCCACTTAACGTGCAATTGTTGGATTTTCAGCTGTTCTCTTCGTTGGCGTTCCCCATCGACTCATTCCTACTCGGTGGCTTTTACGAACAGATCGGCATTGACGTCATCGCTAGCGACAACCATTTTTCCGAGGTGCCAACCAGCTATTTGGAAGTCTATCCGCCTGTCTGTGCCATTAAAGGGGGGAGAAACAACCTTGTTTCCAAGGATTTAATCTTTCTAATGGAGAAGCTATTGCCTCTAAACTGCGGTTTCATTTTCCTAAACGTCATTTCCATCATAACCCGCCTCCACCTCCCTTCTTCCGTACCTTCCTTTCCTTCGAAGTGTCGGCGCGTTGGCCTGTCGGCGAGTCGAGTTTCGGCGAGCCGGCCGGAAATCAAATTTCGGCATTATGAAGTTCAACATTTTGAAATTAACCCAATTATTTACAGTACTACGGATACTGGTCGCGTTGTGGGATCGAGATGAACATTCAAACGACTACCTATCCGCATTTGCACATCGAAATTCGTGTCCCGGCAACCGGGGCACCCATCCATGGTTTATTCCCGGACATTTTAATTGGGTATACCGTTTTTTGGGCTCTCGGTCAGTAGGATCAAGCCTAACTTGTGCTGCGTTTTTTGCTGATTCGAAATCCGCTCGTAATTTGGCCAAATTGTCCCATTTAAAACCAGTGGAAAAAGACCGATTTGCGTTCATATTTTCGAAAAATGTCTTTTCGAAAACCCATATTTTCGAAAACTCATATCTAAAGCTTTGCATAGGCTTAGGTAAGCTAACTGTAAAGTGTTTTTACTCAGGCTGGCGTTTCGGAATGGGACCAAGACTATCTTGTTCAGAATTTTTTGCTGATTCCGAATCCGTTTTCCAAATTTGCTGCGGACTTCGCGTTGAAAAGTAATTTTTGGTCTAAATTAAGCTTAAAAACGGCATAAATTCGGATGCTGGCCCACTATTCTCCGCCTCGGCCCCGGTTTTGCTGTGCCCCTTATCTACCCTTCCGAAGCCCCTTGCCCGGTTGGCACCATGGTGCATTGGCAGGGTGTTCGCTTGCCAAGCACAGGGCCGCGGTTCGAACCCCACCATGCACATTTTCTTTTGCTTTTTGCACAAAAACAGATAATTTTTTGCATAAAATTGTGCTTTGACCTTTAAACCCGTTACCGGCTCAGGTTTAACGTTGAAGATGAAGACAAATTAAAGATAACGCAAAAAATCCAGATTCTGGCACTTTTTATAGTATAAATGTCAAATAACAAGTTAAATAAAAGTCGGCAGCAGATCTGGAAATCAGATTCGGAATCAGCGCAAAATTTTGCACATGATAGTCTTGGTCCCATCCCAAAACGCCAGCCTGAGTAAAAACACTTTACAGTAAGAAAACGTAAGAAAAAATGAGTTTCGAAAATGTTACCGCTTTCTGTAAAAAAAATGATCATTAGGCAAGATATTGACGATGGACCAGAGGACATGCAGAAACGACCGAGGGAGATGGCGCGGTTATCAGTATCCGGGTATGTCTGTCGCAATGAGAGCGAGAGATAGAGAGCGAGAGAGAGAGAGCGAGAGAGAGAGGGAGAGAGAGAGAAAGAGCGAGAGAGAGCGTGCCAGGGGGGACCGGCCGCCGGTCCTGATGATCGGTTATGCGGTTCAAATGCGTCTGTAGAGATGATGAGTGCGGGATGATTCTGATCAATCGATTGACTCGATACATGAAGAGCCGTCGTGTCAGCATCGATTACGACGAAGCATTGTGGCCCACTGAGACGGTAGTCTATCATTTTGTGACTTTTGCAGTCGGTACTCGGTAATAAGGTGATCGTTTCGGCAAACACAAATCCACCTTGAGTAACTAAAGCCAAATAATGGATATTCAAATACGGAACGGTAACTTGAATTTTCCGGTTTTATGAGTTACTGCCTTGGCTCTTCAGGTCGTAGCGCCAGGACTTGTCGAACTACAGCGCTTACATCTCTTTCGACAGCAAAATTTTGCCATTTACCCGGTCTTTGGTCCGGATACTTTGTTGGAGAGGTGGGTGGAGAGAGAGAGAGAGGGGGAGAGAGGGAGAGAGACAGAGCAAGGGAGAGACAGAGAGAGAGATGAGAGAGCGAGAGACAGATGAGAGAGAGAGAGAGAGAGAGAGAGAGAAAGAGAGACGGCAGAATGAGGAGATTGAGGCGTTCTATCTTTGTTGCAGATATCTGAATCTGGGATACTGGATACCATACAGAACATCACCAGATCAGGTATGCTTAACAATCTCGATGGACCCGATATTGTCGATCCATTGAAGGCTCTTCTCTCCGTCGTCAAACTGGCTCCAGAAGATTATTTAGATGTCTACACGGATGCATTCATAAAGGTTCGCTCTCACTCTCTCTATCTCCCTCTCTCACTCTCTGCTCTGTCTCTCTCTGTCTCTATCTCACTCTCTCTCTCTCTCTCTTCTCTCTCCACTCCATCGTCCCGTTTCAGCTAATCGACTGTCCCCTCCTCCGTTTCTCTCATATCTATGAGAAAGAGACAGATTGTCTCCGTTCTCTCCATATCTTCCAACAATTCATCCATCACATCATCCTATCCGTAACTCTTTTCTATCTATAAATATTTTTCTATTTTTTACAGGCAGTTCCTCAGCGAGAGCGACGTCGACTCGTCATTCTCGATATCTACACAACTCAACAACTTCAGCAGGTACACAGAACAATAAATGCGCTCTGCTAGTGTGTCTTGTTGTATTTATGGCTCCATGGGTCGATCTGTCTGCCAGTTGGTCAAATTCCCAAGCCATGAATGGTGTTTGATAGTCAGCCCCCATTTTAGGAGACACTGAAGGAAATGACTGATGGCTATAGGACTATGATGAAGCATTTGATTGAATGGATCGAGGGAAGCGAGAGAACAGATAGTATTCAGGTAGGATAGAGAGAAAGACAGAGAGTGACGGACACAGAGAGAGACAGAGAGAGAGAGAGCGACAGAGAGACAGAGAGAGAGAGAGAGAGAGAGAGAGAGAGAGAGAGCGAGAGCGACAGAGGGAGAGAGAGTGAGAGAGTGAGGGGTCGAGAGAGAGAGAACGCGCGCGCGAGAGTGACAGTGGGAGAGAGAGAGAGAGAGAGAGAGAGAGAGAAAGAGTGAGTGAGAGAGTGAGAAAGAGCGAGGGATCGAGAGAGAGAGACAGAGAGAGAGAGAGAGAGAGAGAGAGAGAGATAGGCATTCCAGCAAAGAAACTCCTTCCATTTCCAGCTCTATCAAATAGAGGGAACCCTCGGGTTACAAAGGTGCTCAGGGCGTCTCGGAAGCGCCTATTCGACAGGTATCAACGTCATCATTGCCCAAAACTATCGATCCGATTCTCAAGCACTTTGCCAGGTCAGTAGCCCCAACTTGCTGGTAGCCACAAAGGAAGATCTTCCGGACCTTCCGGATATGGATCCAAAGTTTGATCAGTTAGTAGAACCAACCATAGGAAGCCATTTAGATTCCGTGGGCCCTGAATTATGAGGGTCGAAACGAGAATGTAGCTGACGTGCGGCTGAGCTGGTCATCTACACTCATCAATTAGTCTCTTTTGCGCGCTCTCTCTCTCCCTCTCTCTCTCTCTCTCTCTCTCTCTCTCTCTCACACACTCTTTCTCTGTCTCTCCCTGTCGTTTTTCAATTCTGCTTTCCGTCTACGGTATTCAATAAAAATTAGTTTTAATAAAAAATTCCTGTGTGAAAAAAATGAAAGGAATGCGCCACGCTGCCGCACTGTACCATGCCAGGCAAATAAACCGCAACACGGACCTACATCCGCATGAGATGGTGGTCCTGGGTAGTGAAGGCGCGTATCGAACTTTTGCAAATTGCTCTGGGTTCGAAACTTTTTGTGATTGGTTATTCTGCTTCTTAGTTTTAATGCTATTGAAGTCGAATTTAGCATTTCAGAGCAAAAAGCAAAAGAGCTTCACTAGCTAAGAGTCGAACCCGCCGGCAAAAAAAAAGAAAAAACTTATGAGACAAGCGCACTACCAATAAACCAAGTGGCCATGCCAGTAGAGGAGGCTAAAGGGGTTGATGGGCACGAGGCCTAAAGTGCAAAAAATGCGGATCAGGAGGAAAATGTTGGCGAGATGAATGCATTTCAAAGTAATTTTTATCGAATACCATACACGGTTAGCAGATTTGGAAAACGACATCTCGCTCAGAATTTTTTTCTCTATAGACCTAGCTAGGTCTCGTTCAAAAACTCCTGGAAATGTTACCATTGGTAAAAAAATAATACGGGGCTTCTTTGAGCCAAATATTGCCGCATTCTAGCCACACACCTCCGCAAAATATGCAAAAATAACTTAGTTTTGAACTTAGCCACGGAAATGTAAACATATTTTGCTAAATATAATCGAAAACTACTATTATTTGTTTTCCACAAAGATTTAAACGTGCTTATGGCGGAAAGATCACGAAAACGGCGATTGCCCGGGGTGTAGCTGACAGCAAGTTTCGGGAGGGGCAGCGAAATTTCGGAGGGGGTAGCGAGAAAACTGTTTGAAATTTTGAGCGCCGCAGGCAAGAAAATTAATAACCTAACATTAACCATAACAGCGCCAAGAATGAATAAAAAGCCATAAATACAAGGCCGTAGACGAAAATATTTTTGAGCAAAAAGTCAGGATTACCGCCATGACGCCGAATTTTATAATCCCAAATTTTCAGAATCTGAAATTCTCATAATACCGAATTTTCTTAATCCTGAATGTCAAAAGACCGAATTTGGAACGATGCCGAAATTTTGACCTTTTTTGGCCATTAGAATATATTTTTGACCAAAAATTTTTTAGATTATTTTACTGGATAAATCAAGTTTATTTAAAAAAATTGGCCAAAATGTATGAAAATGGCCCAAAAAAGGTCAAAATTCGGCCTTTTAACATTCGGGATGATAAAAGAAAATAACCCGAAAAAATCATAAGGGTCGTTGACGTTTTTTCGGGACCACCGAATCTCGGAAAGGAAAGTCTGCCCCCCCCATGCCCGGATACGTACCTCAACGTGAAACTTTTTTCTGGGCTCTACTCACGCGCCGGAAGGGCTCCCGGCAGCACAGAAAGCACATCTGTTTATCCCGCAAGGGGACGCCACGGGCAATGCCTATCTTGCTTTAATGCCGCCACATATCAACACCATGCCTGGCGGGGCAACATACCAACTTTCCTTCTCGAGATAATGGGGACAAGCTCCGGACCTCCTTGGTTGATACGCCCTGTACTGCAGCGTGTTCGCCTTCATCGCATTGGTCCCGCTTCCTCTTCGCCGCCTTTGACGTTATTCGTAAAAGGGCATTGAATAAATCGTGCCCATCTTCCCCCGTCTTTTGCTCTCGAGTGCGCAAATTCCGGTCGCTTGCGACGACTTTTTTTTATTTCGGTAAATAATACTAGGTGAGAGAACATACAAAATAAACATACACGGAACACACATGTGAAAGCGCGCCCCAGACAGATCTCATTGGCATAGAGCCCAGCCGCCCTGGGAGAGTGAGAGAAGAATCACATCGACACGGACACTCGTAAGCGTAGAAACGGACAAAGTTGAGAAGGTAAAAAAAAATTTAGGAATTGTATACGGAAAATAATTGGGAGGCATAATACGGTCATTCGTGTTAATTCAACGGTTGTGGCGGATCCGGCTGATTAGGGTACTGGGACCAGATCTCGATCATGGCACTGAGTAGCTCCTGAATGGAAATATTATTTAAATTCAAATTGAAGTGACCGTTCAAGTCCGACAGATAACCCGTCCGTTTTCATTCCGGGCTGACACCTAACTTTGTCAAAGGCATAGATCAGTACCTCAACCCAAAAAGGCGGAGCCCGCTAACCCCGATGAATGGCCGACATCTGTCCGTCAAGAAAACGGTCGGGATCCAGGGCTTTAGGCCAAGGTTTCTCCGCGCCCTCTACTTCCACGTATCGATACAGATGTACTCGCAAGGAATTTTGCCTGGTGGCACACCTGCTTGCCGAGCGAATCCCCGCGCGCCATTCGTAGCCATCGGCCTTGGCCGTATGACAGATAAAAACTAAATCAACATGACGTTTTAATACAAGAGTGTAGGCAGCAATGTCTGACACACAAAGTCTACATTTCATTGATCTAGCTTGAAAGAACAAAAAAAAGGCATTGAAAAAGATGTTTTATCCTGTTAAGTATTTCAGGCCAGAATTGCTAAAATGCCGTTGCGAAAATTTCCTGACCCCCCCATTCAAACTTCCCTACAAGTTTTTAAAAACAATGGGATTATTCTACTCTTTTCTTTTACTAAAATGCTATTTTATTTTGTTTTTATGTGTCAAACGACCGAGGGCGGTGGCTATAAATGCCACCAGGGAATCTAGCTTGTACAGGCAGATGTGCCAACGCGCAAAAACTCCCCGCTCCGTGCCAACGGGCGAGAACATCTGCATGGATGAGAGAGATCCGCGGCAGATGAATCTTGGCCTAAAGTGCGGTGTCCAAACGGTCGCGTTTACCGCGGACACGATGTCCACCTTTCCGGGAATCCCAAGCCAAATTGCGTTTCGGAGGTTATCGCTTTCAAAAGGCGTCGGAGGCTTTGCGCCATGTGAGCTAACCGAAACGAAATTTTTTATGGTTCCGGATATATTTTCACGATGGCCAAAAACTCACAAATTCCGTCATGCTGTGGGCCCAGACGAATTGCCTCTGGATGCGACGCACGGGCACACCATTATGGATTGTCGAGCAAATGTCGATGAATCCCTCGCAATTGACTGTTTCCGGCTCGTTTGTTCTGCGGTACAGCAGAATCAAACAACGAAGCGCTAGCATCTCCTCGTCGACGGCGGCTAGTTGGAGGAGCTGATGGGCGGCCGGATCATGACGCTGTGTGAGGCCCTCGTAGATGTTCAGCACCGGTGTGACGTGAGTAGAACTTGGCTGTGATGACCCTTCAGTCGATCCTCCATAGTTCTCGAATAAGTGGTTGGCCAATATGTCGGCAAGCGTATTCCTATGCACCTAAACACATTTTCGTCCATGTATGATGAAAAGTAATACCTGGAAGGAAGCATGCGCCCACTGTCTATACATAGCATCAATTTCCTCAGCGGCACGCGACGGGTCAAGCACCGTCACGATCGTACGGACTTCCTGGATAGTGCCCGCTCGGCCCAGTAGACGACAACACATCAGGGCGCCAATTGTTAGTTCTTCAAGATTAGATGTGGCCATCTGGAAAAAGGCATCATAAACAATTAAGAGGAGAGAGATTCATTGGAGCAATTTAGGAATAATCAGTTACGAACCTAACGCTATAAAATAGAGTTTCCCCGCCCTAATGGCCAGAATCACGGGCGCGGTCCAGGAAAAAGGGAGCGCCGAATCTCCACATCCTATCAGAGTATGAATGGAACCGTCTGCGAAACTCATACAAACAATACTACAACTCCCGGGCAACTATCCTAAATCCCGAATATAGTTCCCCCGTGCATTTGCTGCGTTCGTTTTTCGGTTTCTTGCGAATAGCCACGTTCACGACCGGTATTTTTGCAATTCCGATTCAATATTCGCTCACATTTCGACGGTTTTCAGCATTTTGAATTGTTTAAGGAAAGAAATAGATGCAGAAGCTACTGAGAAACGCTTCTTTGTATTACATAGCTTTTGCGGCGATCGGCCGAGGACGCGCGTTATTAGAGTGTCATTTGTATTGATACGCCGCGAAATTGCAAAGATTTTATGGGAGGGTTTTTGACCCTCTGACGTAAGTGTGTGCCGGGGCGCGCTTTAGCAGTAACAGGGTTCCGGGCGCGCCACATTACGCATGGACGTAAGGTGTATAGAACGGAATACTTTCTTCTGAATTTATTTTTTACAAAGTGGATATATAAAGTAAAAGAAATATGCAGAAAGCTTTTAATAAATAAAAAAACCTATTTATGGTGAATCTGGAACAGTTAATCGTCAGTCTCACGGCTTTTCGGAGTTTTGGGAATATATACCATTATTTTTGTTGATTGGTTCACTTCTGCCCGATATTAATTGTAGACTCTCGTCTGAAATCTACTATATATAAATTTCTAATGTCCGTGCGCCGTCCGACCGCCCGACCGGGAATTCAGCCAAATTTTGCATTCAAATTCCAAATTCAAATTGTGTGATGCGGGGGAAGGCCAGCGCTGAAACCCCGCGTAGCGGGGGGTCAGCGCTGGTACTTTTCTAAATAAGAAGCTACCGCGATCGCTTTAATTACAAAAAGCCAGTCATTACAAAGAAGCAGGGACGCAGGAACTTTCGCAAAGTAGGCTGTGAATCGCCAATGAAAGCTAACTGTAAAGTGTTTTTACTCAACTTGGAGTTTCGATTCGGGACCAAGCGCATCTTGTGCAGAATTTTTCACTGATTCCGAATATGTTTTCCAAATTTGCTACGGGCTTTTATTTAAAAAATCATTTTTGGTAACAATTAGGCCGAAAAATACCAAAAATTCAGACGCTGGCCCACTATTCCTTGTTTGGGGCTATTCTGCCCAGGGGCCCTGAAGTACCCTCTGACAGCACCCTTCCCAGTTGGCACCATGGTGCATTGGCAAAGTACTCGCTTGCCAAGCGCAGGGCGGCGGTTCGAACCCCCGCCCGCATCATTTCTTTTGCTTTTTGCATAAAAATCTAATTTTTTTATCTAAAATGCTTGTTTTGAGCTGTAGGATGCTTGTCGAGCCAACGTCTAGTCAATTTTGACGTTGAAATTAATGAAGAAAATCGAAAACTATAACGATGCCTTCATTTTGGTGAAAACTAGGGTCATAATTGCCGCATAACTTTCAGAATAACGGTCCGTAGCAAATTTGGAAAACATATTCGGAATCAGCGAAAAATGCTGTACAAGATGCATTTGGTCCCGAATCGAAACTCCAAGTTGAGTAAAAACACTTTACAGTAAGGAGATAACGCCAACGAAGAATCATACAAAACCACAGACATGTAAAGCATTGCGAAAACTTTAACTCTTTCGAAGAAGTCTAAAAATCTTACATGGTAGCGGGTCCAGGAGTGGCTCGAGGTTATGTTGTACTTTCGTCAAGCCACGCGAGCTTTTGCCGTGGGCTCTTTGTATGCTGCATTTTAAGTTTAGAGATTTCAAATTCTTTTCCTTTCATACACTACTGCTATGATGAACATTAACACCAAGTTAAAGTAAATGATTCTCCTCAGTATAAACCTATGAGGTGACAATCATCAGTTCCCAACTCGCGAAAACACTGTCCTCTGGTTAGTAAAAAGTTTTCGGTACACATAGGGTAACGGGGGGGATTTACGTTCATTTGGCATAATTTTCATTTGGCATAATTTCATTTGGCATAATTTTCATTTGGCATAATTTCATTTCGCATAATTTTCATTTGGCATAATTTTCATTTGGCATAATTTTCATTTGGCATAATTTTCATTTGGCATAATTGTCATTTGGCATAACGTTATTTAGCATAATGTTATTTGGCATAATTCGCACGCCAAATCAACAATTCCCACAACAACAATTGGCAGTTCCTCAAGGAATTGGGTGGCGATCAAGTTCGGATCGATGTCAAGTACGGAAAGATGCGCCAACGCGGTTTGAAGAAGAACCGAAGAAGTCCCAACCCCCCGCGGGTCTATTCCACCCAGCAACGTCTTTGTCCTTGTCTTTCCCTTTACCTGTGATGTTGTGTGACATGCATAAACAGGCTAAATTATGCCAAATAACATTATGCCAAATAACGTTATGCCAAATGACAATTATGCCAAATGAAAATTATGCCAAATAACAATTATGCCAAATGAAAATTATGCCAAATGACATTATGCCAAATGAAAATTATGCCAAATGACATTATGCCAAATGAAAATTATGCCAAATGACATTATGCCAAATAAGCGTTCACCGGGGGGGAATAAAATAACGGGGGGCACTCATTATTATGAAATTTGCAATTACTGAGGGATTTTGCGAGTGCCATTCGATAGAGCGTCGAAAAATATACTAAGAGAATTAATTTCAGCCCGAAATAATGTAATAAAAATTTTTTTATTGAATAAACAAAAATTGAGGAAAATCTATGGGCAGCACATAGGATAACGGGGGGAAGTCAAATTTTCGAAATTTTCGAAATTTTCGGTATTTTGAAAACGTCATTCGATAAAGCGTCGAAAACTGCCCTAAGAAAATTAATTTCAGCCCGAAATAATGTAAATGAAATTTTTTATCGAATAAACAAAAATTGATCAAAATCCATGGGCAGCACATAGGATAACGGGGGGAAGCCAAATTTTTGAGATTTTCGATATTTTGAAAACGCGAATCGATAGAACATCAAAAAATATACTAAGAGATTTTTTTACAACGCGAAAAAATGTACTATAAAAGTTTTATAGCCTAAAAACTATTTTTGAAAACTATGGGCAGCACATAGGATAACAGGGGGGGTTTTTTCGGCGTTTTGAATATTTTCGAGATTTTGAAAATGCCATTCGATAGAGGACCGAAAAATATACTAAGAGTTTTTTTTACAGCCCGAAAAAAGCATATTTAAAAATGCTTTTATCATATAAAAAGTTTGAGTGCCCCCCCGTTATTTCCCCCCGTTATCCTATGTGTACCAAGTTTTCTACATGCTTCTTTTACTATTACATGTATATTCTCTTTGTTAGAAGTAGGAAATTAAAGTAGAATAATTAATCAAAAAGTATTCCGTTCTATACACCTTACGGCCATGCGTAATGTGGCGCGCCCGGAACTCTGTCACTGCTAAAGCGCGCCCCGGCACACACCTACGTCAGAGGGTCAAAAACCCTCCCGTAAAGATTTTTCAAAATTCTCCAGACTTTCAAAAAATCTTTCAAGACTTTTCAAAAATTAAAATTTTTTTATTGAACACAAGTGCCCTTTGGCAGCTAATTTTTATAGCATCATGTTCCCCGTACTTTATTCGATTTTTCCACAAATTTTAGAACGATTTGGGCCCTGTGACATCACAACCTCTACATGTCAGACAGCAAATCCCACCTCCCCACGGAACCAACGCTTCATGCATCGTCAATTTGCTCGCTTCATCTGTAATCCGAAATTCACCCTTTCCATCTTATTGCATGAACCAGCGCCCAAAACCCGCTTCGCGGGCCTTGGGCGCTGGGATGCGGCCCTTGCATGAGAAATTTTACTTTCCGATAGCTTGGGTCCTTCGGACCCCTCCCTTCCTCCGACCACACCCGCGCGTGCAACTTTCAAGAATGAGGCAATATGTATTTTTCACATTATGCAAATTAGCCCTCCCGGACCCCCAAAAATCAATAAAACCGGCTTTTACCTTGTAAACTTGTATTTTAACGTGATTCTGAAAACGTCATCGGAAAGAGGAGGGTCGATTCCCCCGGGTGACGAAGAATTAGGGCGTTTTGGACACGGGAAAGCCTTCAAATCGGGCCTCGAAAGTGACATCAAAAAAAAAAAAAAAAAAAAAAAAAAAAAAAAAAAAAAAAAAAAAAAAAAAAAAAAAAAAAAAAAAAAAAAAAAAAAAAAAAAAAAAAAAAAAAAAAAAAAAAAAAAAAAAAAAAAAAAAAAAAAAAAAAAAAAAAAAAAAAAAAAAAAAAAAAAAAAAAAAAAAAAAAAAAAAAAAAAAAAAAAAAAAAAAAAAAAAAAAAAAAAAAAAAAAAAAAAAAAAAAAAAAAAAAAAAAAAAAAAAAAAAAAAAAAAAAAAAAAAAAAAAAAAAAAAAAAAAAAAAAAAAAAAAAAAAAAAAAAAAAAAAAAAAAAAAAAAAAAAAAAAAAAAAAAAAAAAAAAAAAAAAAAAAAAAAAAAAAAAAAAAAAAAAAAAAAAAAAAAAAAAAAAAAAAAAAAAAAAAAAAAAAAAAAAAAAAAAAAAAAAAAAAAAAAAAAAAAAAAAAAAAAAAAAAAAAAAAAAAAAAAAAAAAAAAAAAAAAAAAAAAAAAAAAAAAAAAAAAAAAAAAAAAAAAAAAAAAAAAAAAAAAAAAAAAAAAAAAAAAAAAAAAAAAAAAAAAAAAAAAAAAAAAAAAAAAAAAAAAAAAAAAAAAAAAAACACACACACACACACACACACACACACACACACACACACACACACACACACAGTGATACACCCCAAAATTATATAAGGTAGGATTATCCCAGTTCAACACTGCAAAATTATTGACAATTGCAGGATCATCTTGCCGAAAGATCTTTGTTTCTTTCATATTCGTCTAATTCGGTAGGCAGGGTAGGGTCGGAACTCGAACTCTGAAGTCGGAAGGCTTTATTCAACTTGACAGCTCACTTTATCCTACTATATATAAAAAAAGTGTTTGTGTGTGTGTGTGTGTGTGTGTGTGGGCATTTGGTTAGATTTTTGTGAAAATCGCACTCGGCCTCTTTGTTAGGAATCAATTTGCATGCAACGGAAGAGGGAGAGCCTATATAATGGGAGAGAGGACGCGCTTTTCATTTTTCTGCACAGGAATGCAGGTGTTTATGCAAAGTGGTGAAGCATGGGGGTAGGACGGGGCCAGGGTTGAAAAGTCGCGAAGCGGCTTTTCAACCCTGGTTAATAATAAAAAAGTTCGGATTTTATATCCCAGGTCCTTTCAGCGACGGTCATGCCGGGTCTACTCGTCGCATCGAAGGAACCGCGTCGCCGTGCTTTCCTCATTTACAATGGCCCTCTCGACGGCACGAGCAAAATCAGCCACAATTTATGGTCGCAAAGTTCTGATATTAAATCATTAACCGATCATATTTGTTAATCTCAAAATTTCAGGCCGTTTCCGTTGGCGACGACAACCGCGACGAGTACAGGGGCGACAGATGTTTCAAAGACACCTGATCAATTCAAGGTGCCGCGATCAAGACGCATGGAGGCTTGTCATCTGCCTAGACCATCTGCGAAGGCATAGCGAGGAGCGTCGTCGCACCAATATCAATCAATATTTGCATCAAGGCAACCCCCGCTATTCGACGCCTCACTAGAGCGCCGGTGGAGAAAAAAGAAATTTGAAAAATCAAAAAAGTCGAGGGCAGCGAGCAGAGACCATTAGGGAAAACGTACCGAACGCAGTGTGTAATTATGCATGTGCGCGTAGCAGCGCATCGTTGGTTGTACAAGGGCGTACTGCGTCATGTCCCCGTTCTTCACGACGACAACAAGTTGAACATGTTGATGGACACCTGGAAAGGGGCAAGCTAGTAGAGATTATCGAGGCAAATTACCTGTCGTAATTGGTGGCTGCTGACTGGTGACGGTCAATCGATAGTATGTGATGTAGAGACCGTAGCCACCACCCAACACAAAACGACGGTCGAGGTGCCGCTGAAAAAAAGTGGAACAATTATAAATTATCAAAAAAATTCCTCGAAGAATCACTGCTAGCCTGCCCCGGGAAGTTAATTTTTTAGAGTTAACCGAAAGAGGGCAGGCTATCAGAGATGCCTTGAGGAATGGAGCGAGTGCCAGAGAGATAGAGACAGAGACCACTAAAAAACTATAAAATCCATGATTTATTACTAAGAGGTAGGTAGAGGTACGGGCGGAAAGATAATAATTAACTTCCCCCGCAAAAACGGGAAGAATACCAACCAACTATACAATAAAGGGTTCAACATCTTCGAATTTTCAAAATTAAAACAAAAACTAATTTTTATCATTTTCCTAGGATTCAAAAACTACTAAAAACACTAGAAAAAACACTATATCCTTCAACAGGTTCGAAAACAAAAAAGTGACTCCCCCCTCCCGCTAACAGTCGAGAACAAAGGGCCAAGCCCCCCCCCCCGTTAAAGGGAAAGAACCAAAATCATGCAGTTTCCGGCGGCAAATAAAAGGCACGACATTTTTACTCTATTTTATGAAATACAAATTCCAGAAACACACCTCGAAACGACATCTTCCATTCCGGTCCTCGAAAAATTGACGACGTCGCTCCGGTGTGGCAGATCATTACCTCTACTCACACCTTCATCGCCTGTTGCCGTCCCGTGTCGTTCCTGAAAACAAAAGTCTTTTCAACATTCATCATCATTTGTTGCCGTCCTTGGCTTCCCAGGAAAAAAATTGGGTTCTGGACTGTTAGCGGGGGGGGGAAGGGGGTTAACAGCGGGAATCAAAACTTTCCTTGTGATTCTCTACGGCCCTATAACAAAATATAAATCTTTTTCTAGCGGTTTACCTAATTTTTAGATATAAATTTTTCGAATTTTCCGAATTAATTAACGAATTTTCCGAAATTTTTGAATTTTTGGTCAAAAATGTATGAAAATGACCACAGAATGGTCAAAATTTTCGAATTTCCAAACTTAAAAAAAAAAACTAATTTTCCTGATTTCCTAGGATTCAAACACAACTAAAAACACTTCACGATTCAACAGGTTCAAAAACAAAACCAAACACCCCCCCCCGCCCCGTTAACCGGAAAGAACCAAAATCGTGCAGTTTCCGGTGGCTAATAAAAGGCACGAGACACGCTCTTCCTGCTGTATTTCATGAAATTCAAAAATACAAAAACACACCTCGAAACGATCTTCCCGAAAAATTGACGACGTCGCTCCGGTGTGGCAGATCATTACCTCTACTCACACCTTCATTGCCTTTTGCCGTCCCGTGTCGATCCTGAAAACAAAAGACTTTTCAACATTCATCATCATTTGTTGCCGTCCTTGGCTTCACAGTAAAAAAATTAGGTTCTGGACTGTTAGCGGGAGGACCAAACTAATCCCTGTGATTTTTGAGTTTTTGGTCAAAAATGTATGTAAAATGGCCAAAAAGGGTTAAAATTTTCGAATTTTCAAAGGTAAAAAAATATAGATTTTATGACCTCCTAGGTCAATAATCTTTAAAAGACGATAAAAACACATAATAGATCATCAAAAGCCAGGTATAAGTTGAAAAAGTGGTTCTCCCCCCCCGCCGCGAACAGAAATGTAATGTCAATAAATATATCAATCAAAATAAAGCATTTGACATTATTCTACGGATCCAATTTTGATAAAAAAAAAATAGAAAAAATCGGCGCAACAGGGGCGTGGTTTGATCCCGAAAACCCGGGAAACCAGCAGAGATTCTTGAGGAATTTAGGGGCCGGCTACCTGGCAGAGATCCTTGTAGAAAAAGAGCGTGGCCACCGAAAAATCCGCATCGTGATAAGGCCCACATCTCGCTGCCAGCCGTCCACATCTCCAACAAGACCAGCAGCACCAGCAAAACGACGGCCGAGGCGGTGCTGAAAAAGTAAAATAATTAAATTATTGAAAAATGATCTAAGAGAAAATTTGGGATTCCCGACCTTTTGAGGCCATTTTTCATTTTTAAACAGCTGGTTAATTTTCTATAATGTTTTATAGCGAAAAACGATAAAAATGGGTAAAATTTCGTCATAGGGCCCTCCGGAATTATGTGGAAAATTCAGTCCCCCGTCATCAACAGGGGATAACCGAAAGCGGGCAGGCTAGCAGAGATGCTTTGAGGAATGGAGCGATAGAGAAACACTCAGATTTATCACCTGATTCTCGGATCCGTCAACACTGGCCGGCTTCTCGTAGTCGGCCCAAAAACGGCAGTCGGCAAAAATTTCCGCGCGTCTCCAGTATTGCTAAAACTACAAAGTACACCAATACAGATTAATTCCCTCACCAGATCAAATAGCTGCCTGCCATCTGCTCGTCTTCATCAGACGGCTGTAGAAACGCAGTCACGTCGCGTTCGAGGCGGGCAGGTACTCTTCGACACGATGCGCCGGGTTGACAACCTGAAAAAAATGGGATGAAAACACAATCGATTCCTCACAGAATCTTTGCTAGCCTGCCCCCTCCGAAAACACGAACCCCAATACCAGCGTCGAGGAATAGAATCCATTCATCTGTCGGCCAGCTCCATTTTGTGGGCGAGCAGACAGCGTCAAAGGGACATGAACTGAAAATTGAGAGACAATTAGGGCGAGAGAGAGAGGGTTAAACAAAATGGTACATTCTATCGTATTTTTGGTAATTTTTGGCTATTAACAATACCTTAAAAACTTGAAAATTCGAAATTTTTAATTTTGCGATTTTTCATAATTTTGACCAGATTACAAAAATTCAAAAATTTTGCATCGATTTCATATCCAAAAACTATGCTAAATCCGATAACAATGGTTTGAATTTTGTCATAGGGCTCAACGGAATTACTTCGAAAAATTGGTCCCCCCCCGTTAACAGAGAAGGACCGAAACAGGGCAGGCTAGCAGAGATTCTTTGAGGCAGAGAGAGAGAGAGAGAGAGATCTACTCACATCTATTGACCCGTTGCCAGATCCGTGCATCTTCTCGTAGTCGGCCCGAAAAACGGAAGTCGTAGTCGTAAAAAATTTCCGAACGCTGCAGCATTCCTAAAACTACAAAGTACAACAATACACACTAACTACCTCACCTGATCAAATCGCTGCCGGCCATCAGCTCGTCTTCATCAGACGGTTGTCGAGCCACGTCGTGTTCATGGAGGACAGGCGCTCTTCGCTCTTCTTCGGTTCTTCTGCGTCGCGCTGACAATCTGAAAAAATCGGGATTTTTTTATCAAATTTCCTAGCCAAATTTTTTTACCTTTAGGTCCAGAATTGCTTCTTCTACGAAAAATCAATTTATTTTATTAAAATTTATAAAGTTTTTATGCAAAAAAAGGTATGTCTAAAGGCGAATGCCCCAAAAACGGTTCTTCAGGATTTCGAAGACTTCAAGAAGCACTTTTTTCGGTGCAAACACGGAATTCGTTGGGCGCATTTTTACATTGTTTTGAACTATTCCTGAGCCTAAAAGTTTTAGGCTAAAACCATACCAATTTTAATGCCAAAACTTAAATTTATGTCGAAAACTTTTTAAAACTTAAAAATGTAGGACCCAAGACCAAAAATTTTCGACTTTTTCAAACATCTTTATGTTTTTTTAAAGTTTTTCTGCTTTAAGTAGAGTATCTTTTCTTTTTTTAACACTTTCTATCAAGTTAATAGACATTTATAGACCCATACAAAAAGCCCCCCCCCCGCCCCGATAATTTTCGACTTTTTCAAAAATTTTAATGTTTTTTTAAAGTTTTTCTACTTAAATGGAGTATAAAAACACTTTCTATCAAGTTAATAGGCATTTCTAGACCTATACAAAAAAGCCCCCCCGATATTACGAAAGAACCAGCATTTTTAATAGTTTTTGATTGCTAGAAGCTTTTAAAATAATTTAAAACATTTTAAATGCCCTCGAACACTCGAAAAGCACCAAACGCCCACCATTAAATGCAACGACGAGCGGGCCATCGTATCCGGACGCCATCAGTTGGTGATCTACGGCTGTAGAGCCACGTCGTGATCATGGAGGACAGGCACGCTTCGACCCGGTGCGTCGCGCTGACAATCTGAAAATGGTGATTTTTTTTTTCTATACAATTTACAGTTTAAAAAATGCAGAAACGTTGAACTATTCCTGAGCAAAATCCAAAATTTAGCTTTAGGTAAAAAATTTGATTTTTTCGGCGCTTTCAAACATTTTTTGGACTTTAAATCGAGTGAAAACGTACTAAAAGCAATATAACACGATTTACAGGGTGTGCAAAAAAAAAGGCCACAGTTTGGGTCGAAATAACTCGCGAACGGTAGAGAATCCAAGGTGCGTTACCATGCCAGAATGCTTAAATATGCTGGGCATGAAGATTTAACACAACTTGATTTTTTCGATTTTTGAGTACGAAACTGTACTATTGACGCTGGTTACGACCGAAAATTGTGCGTTCTTGAACGGGAGGTGGGAAAATTCTGATTTTTGGCCTAAAAATAGTATAAATTTGTAGAAATGTAATGGCAAAATCTTAGAATTCATCGAGGTCAATTTCATTTTTTAAAAGCAAAACAATTTTCGCGATTTTGCGTTAATTTGGTTCTTTGAGTCATAACTCGCTTATAACTCGCTGCCTATGGCTGATATTTTGTCAATGACCTATCCAAACATTAATCTCGGATTCCACACCAAATTCCACCACAATCTATGGTATTTTTGTATTGCTTGCTAAAACGTGCCCCAGTGGGGTACTGTAGGTTTCGTTTTTCCCGCTTTTCTCGGGGCCCCTAGCTTCGATTCGGCTAAAATTTTCTGGGTTGTTAGGCAATAAGTAGGGGCACCTTACTGTCAAATACGAGAGCGTACTATCAACAAACTTTCATTAAAAAGACTAAAAACAGATTTTTTAATTCTGCGGCAGAATTTTGTAAATTTTTTGGTCAATTGGTCCAAAAACTGCTACTATTGCTTTTACGAAAAGATCGAAGCGATTCCATGGCAAAAACACCACGAAAATCGCAAATTTCGGTTTTCTACAGTAACCCCCGTGGAGCGCGTTTTAGCATGCCATCACAAAATTCCATAAAGTGACGATTTTTCAATTCGAGGGCCTTCTAGAGTGGATTGTAAGATTGCCTGTCAAAAATTACTGATTTTGGGTGGTAAATAACAAAGTTACGATGCCAAGTGCAAAACAGGGCCAGAGAGCCGATTTTTGGTCCGAGTAGCCGGGGTCAATTTTCGAATTTTTAAAAATAAAAAAACCAGCTGGGTCTTATGGATACGATTAAAGATTTAATGTTATTATCTACGCTCGTCAAATTTGGGGGCAATCTGATTCATGATCATGGCGACTTTCAGCTCAAAACCGAAGATCACCCTATTCCAAAATCGAAGTTTAGAAATCTTCTTAAAATTTTTGCGACGTGAAATTGCTTTAATCTTTGCATAGTTTTTTTCAACTGATGGCACTGTCTTATTGCTCAAAATATCCCTACGACTCCACCTTCCAAAAATTTTTTACGCAACCTCCAATTCGGTTTATTTCGCTTTTTGATGAATTTTCCTGGCGCCAAGGGCTGGTTAAAAAAAATTCATGAATAAGGCTTTAGGATGCGCTATTCAACTGGTATCCGATAAAAATAAAACGATAATTTTCACAGCGCGACTAAATTTTATAAAATGGTGACAAGATTCGGAAAAAAGCACGAACGAACCGTTTTGGAGGCCCTAAAAGACGCCCTTCCAAAGGGGTACGGTGGCTCGAAATTTTGTAGATAATAGATCAACCCCAGAACTACATAGCTAAGCAAAAAAAACAACTGAGTCTCCTTTGGCAATTTAGAAATATTTTTCCAAAGTTCGATTTCGGGGCCGCGAAAAATCCATGACCAGGGGGTCGTTGAAAAACGCGAAAATTCATCGATCTCAAAAACTTTTTTAAAATTTTTATGCGATTGTAACGGGCTCGTAGATATTCCACAACAACTGCTTTTGAGATTTTCGCCATAGGTTTTTCCAATGTTAAAAATTTACGAAATTTCTCCATACAAAATTTCATTCCTCTCTAACTTTTCAACCAGACCCTCAAAAATTCTCAAATTTTGTAGGTACATATCTGCTGCTTATATTAACTTACTTAATAAAAATTAGATGCCAGCCACCACAGGAAACTGAGAAGAATACAAATGAAGTTTCCCCGAACGCACAGTTTTCGGGTGTCATTTGTATTGATACGTCGCCAAAAATCGAAAAAATCAAGTTGTGTTAAATCTTCATGCCCAGCATATTTAAGCATTCTGGCATGGTAACGTACCTTCGATTCTCTACCGTTCGCGAGTTATTTCGACCCAAACTGTGGCCTTTTTTTTTGCACACCCTGTATATTCGATTGCCAAGCCACGCTGGTTCCCCCACACGAATCCGTAAAAAACCTCAAAAAGCACCAAGCGCTCACCGTCGACTATACATCCATGAACGTTTCGGAGGGTCCGGGGCGCCGAACATGCCGATGACGGTGCAGACGACGGACGAGTGAAGCGGAGTAGTTAGCCCAAGTTATCTGAAAGAAATATTATTCTCAGCGAATTGGCACACCAACAGATCGAAAGATAATGGAAAACAAAAAGCAGATAAGTGAGAAAAATGGTCAGAATTCAGAGAAATCAATAATCAAAAATTTAGATCAATCAAACGAAATCCTAGGAGAAAAAATTGTAGAAACTCCGAAATGCTAAACTAAATTAAACCCAATGAAATTTATTAAAATCAAAACGCAAATCGCCCAAAAAAAATTTAAATAATTAATCAAAGCTAAATTAGCTGAAAAATCGACTGGGCCGTAATTTGAAATGCTGACAGCCCAATTTTTCGCTTTTCGCACTCCGCCCGCCGCATCCAAGTTAAATTTTCTAAATTCCATGACGAAATTTGCATAAAATCAAATTAACATCCCCCTGGTGCCCGTCGTGCGGTTGTGGGCGACGTTGGTCTGCCCCCGGGCGGGCGGTACCGCGATAAGGCCCCTTTCCCACCCGCCCATCCCAAGACGCCATGGCGCAGTCGTTAGAGCGGCTGCCCACCAAGTTGAAGCCGAGCTGCTGGGGAAGTTCGATGCTACGCCCGTTCGTTTCTTTTGCTTTTTGGCGTGTTTATCCGCCAGCGTGTCGCGCATGTTTTTTGGGGTCCACCGAGGCTGGCTTTTCCCTTTCCCCTGTTTCCCACGTCCTTTTTGGGCAAAAAGGATCACACGTTTAGTGGTGCAACTTTACCCGTTAACCACCTTTATGGCCGGTGCGCTATTCTTTACAATATAACCCATTAAACACTTTTGGAAATTAGTGACTTGTGGCCAAAACCACATGCACGACGGCCAAAACCGTCCATAAATTATATTAGAGGCGCTAAAGATGTCTCTCATAAATTTTTAAGCATCAAAAATTGCCAAAAACACTGTAAAAACGGTACACGCCATCACTGGGCCATAATCGACCAAGCTATGAAATTCAGCCAGCATCCCCCGCAAACAGGAAAGCGCCATTTTCTAGGATCAGCACGGAAAGAGTATTTATTGCTCTTTCCCCGCAATTCATCGCCGGAATGTTTTCGGGAATCTCAGTAAACAAACCTGTTTCCGTCCGTGTTTTTTGAAGATACCGTGGCAGTCCCAAAATGCAGGTAACGGCCACGTTTTTTCAGTATATTATGCCGTCGGGTAACGTCAGGTAAGATATTCCTTTCTGTGGCGCCGCAGGCCCAACGAATGTAGCTGCATCAGCATCTTCTGGCCACGAAGTGTCGGCGAAAGTGGCTATTTTTGTTGGCCAAAAGAAACCAGTAACTCCAGTTTCTTGCGCCGCAGGCCTAAACGTTTTAGTATATGGCTCTGGCGCCGCAGGCCTAAAGAAAGAACCTGCATCCGCAACTCCTTGCCACGGGGTCTCGCCGGAAGTGGCTATTTTTAGTATTTTTGAGTAGCCAAAAGAAACAAGTAACTTCAGTTTCTAGCGCCGCAGGCCCAAGGAAAGAATCTGCATCAAGTCGCATCTTGCGCCGCCAGTTCAGCGTAATTGCTATTTTTAGTATCTTTTAGTAGCCAAAAGACACCATGACGTTTGGTTTCTAGCGCCGCAGGCTGAAGAATTTAGAAAAGAAAAAGCCCCGCTCAGCGTGGTTGCTATTTTTAGTATTTGGCGCCGCAGGCCAACGGAAACAACTAACTTTAGTTTCTAGCCCGCACGCCTAAAGATTTTAGACCTATTGATGGCTCTGGCGCCGCAAGCCAAAGAAACAAGCTAATTCAGTTTCGAGCGCCGCAGGCCTAAAGATTTTTTACGTACTTATGGCTCTTATGGCCAACGTGTTTTAGGCGTAATTCTGACGCTAGCGTCACAGGCCCAAAGAAAAGCCGCGTCAAGCAGCATCTTGCGCCGCCCGCTCAGCGAAATGGCTATTTTTTAATATCTTTTAGTAGCCAAAAGAAACCATGACATTTGGTTTTAGAAAACGACTAACTCTAGTTTCTCGGCCCGAAGGCTCAACGGGAGTCTAGCTATTTCAGCCTCTTGCGCCGCAGGTTAACGAGGATCCGTCGAATGGCGCCTCCAGCGTCGCCGGCTCGCTGCAAGAAACAATTTTGGTACTGTTCTATCTGGCGGGGGGCAAAAATCTACGCCGGGGGCAAAACGGCAGAGGGGTTTTTCGAGATTTTAGCTTATTTTTCGGGCGTTTTCTCTTTGCGTTTTCATAGAACATCGAAAAATGTACTAAGAGCTTTAATTATAGCTCAAATTAATATTATACAAAAAAGTTATAGCAACAACAACAAAAAAACCTCCGACGAGACGCTTGAGACGCTAGTTTTCGATATTTTGAAGGCACCATCCGATAGTGCATCCAAAACTCCACTAAGATTCTTAACTGTAGCGCAAAATAATGTAGCATAGAAGATTTATATCAACCAAAAAAAAATTTAAGCGTCGTTCCCACCTAGAAACTTGGGGTGGAACGCTAGTTTTCGACATTTTCGTCATTGGTACAGGACTTCTTGAACGTCAACCGATAGAGCGTCAGAAAATATACTTCTAAAGAGATTTTAAAATCTGCTAAGAGTTTCAATTTCAGCCCGCAATAATCAAAAATCAAAAAAGTTGCGCAAAAATTTCCTTTAGTTGCCCCCCCGGCAAAATAGAACAGTAACACAATTTTTAATACCTTCCACCGCCGGGTTTTAACCTGTGTTAAAAACTGCATACCAAAAGCACAGGCAGGTACTATCGGCCGCGGGTGCTCATAAGCACTCTTTTTGTATATATTGCAAATAATTTATATAAAAGCTATATAACTAAGTCCTATAAATAAGTAGAAGATATTATAGTATATTAAAACGCTTAAATAATATTATAAGACGTTTATTAAGTAGTGTTTCTTAATAAATTACGCCGCGGCCGATAGTACCTGCCTGTGCTTTTGGTATGCCGTGTGTTAAAACACGGAAAATTTGATTCCCCTGACTGTCTGCCCTCCCCCCGCTCAAAGAGAAAAGTGACACCAGTAGCTGGCGAAGTGCTGATACGTCATTCATTTCAAAAAGTTGCTGCGAAATTGCGAAGATCGAATGGTCTGCGATTTCCGACAATACAAAGCGTTCAGTGTAAACGATTTATTGATAGAATAATGGAGGGGCAATGCGTGACGAGTAGATGAACTTGCGCCTTGTCAATCTGAAGACGCTGAAGAGACGAGCAGGGACGCCGAAGCGCCAAAAGAACATCGAACCTGGGGGGTGAGGATGAACACCCCCCCCCACCGAGTCAAACAATCGACGACGTCATCGGAACGGATATCTCGCCTCGCCGTCAGCGTCACGCCTCTCCTGTCAGCCAGAGTACAGTACACACCACGCAACGCAATGTTGTCTAAATCGATATTCGGCACAATGAATAACAACAAAAAAGGAATTGTGGACGGAGGTGTTGATCGACAATTCAAAGGTATAGACGGGGGCCTTTAGAAGAATCTAAGGGTTGGAATTTTAATGAGACCAGAGCGAAAGAAAGAAAGAAAAAGAGAGTGAGAGGCAGAAGAAAGGGATACGCTTTGTCTGCGGGTTGCTGCTCAACGGCGGGGCGAACGGCGAGGCGAACGACTGCGCGATCTTCTGCGGCCAGCCCGTTCCTTTTCACGGCGTTCACGCTCCTCTTGACGAGCCTTTTCCACGGTCGCCTTCTCTTCGGCACGTTTTGCGGCCTGAAAACAGAAGGATGAAGGTGAGAATGGCCGAAAAAGGGATACCTGCTCGTCGGTGAGCGGCAGATAGTAGATGGCTGGCTGAGCGACAGTCTTCTTGAACAATCCCTCCAGGGTCTTGGCATGAGGCTCGTCAACACTGGAAAAGGAGACGATCATCTTCAAATAACAAGGCCCGCGAAGCGGGTTTTGGGCGCTGGTCTTCAAATAAAAAGCCACTGACGGACGGCTTGACGACTTGACTCGACTTGACGGCTTCGGCTGCGCTCGCGGAGATCTCGCTTGACGTCATCACGACGATGGGGCGTTGTGGCAGAGCGTTTGCGTCTTGTCGAGTCGCGCTAAATTGGGAGATGAGGATTGGGAAAGAGGAAAAGAGTTCTTTCGCACCATCGTTGGTCCGGTGCAAAAAGTCGAAATTTTGGTCTCATCATTTTTCTAAAAGTAATATCGGAAGTGTTTATAATTCCATTCCTAAACGTCATCTAAATTGACAAAATCTGATTAAATATACAAAAAGTATCGATTTTCCGACCAAAATTTCGAATTTTTGAAGATCCCCCAACGATTAGGATCTCGAATGACAAAACCTCGAAGGAAAAGAATGTGAGCGCTAATGCATTTACGGGGGGGAGGGGGGGCAGTCCGGATTTTTGCCTACAATTCGCTCGAAACGCCGTTTTTTAAACCCTAAGCTTGGAAAAGCTCAGCCTAAGCCCACGCCCAGCTTCATTCAAACGAAGCCTTAACCAAACTTGAGCCACGCTAAGCTGACCTCTCAGCTAAGCCCTAGATTACGCCATTTTGAGCTCGTAAGGCAAGTTAAAGCTGAAGATAAGCTCAGCTTGGGCTTAGGCTTACGCGTAAGCCTAAACTATGCAGCGTTACAGCAGCTAATTTCAGCCTAGGATTCAGCTAAAACCAAGTAGAAGCGCGCCTTGTAACTTGTTGCTATCAATTTCGGGCTGCCCCCCTGTAACTGCATTAGTACCTAAAATTCGATTCCCCCGGCATGGCATTCCGCTGGTTCGAAATTTTGGTCATGGAGATTTTATTCATCGATATTCTGATCGGAAAGTGAAAAAAGTACCTTTGCATCTCTGTCCCTTTCCCGTTCCTTCTCTCTAGCCCTTTCCACGTGCCGTACAGCCGTATTCTCATTGTCGCGCACATTCGTCTCGACGGTAATCTTGAGGGTTTGTCTTCCGCCGGGCATTGTGATGTTGCGGGTGGATGCTGATGGCGTAGAAGAGACTGGCTCGGGGTCACGCTTCAGCGAAATCACCGGGCGTTCCCGGTCAATGCTGCGCGTCTCCGCCACCGGGGCCAAGCCGGCCGAGTAGCGGTCGCACTAAAAAAAGGTGGATTACATCCGAAATGCGTAATATACAGAATTTTCACCAAGTCAAGTTCTCACTATACAGCACAACCCAAAAAAAGTCAACCCCCCCTCTAGCGGTCCGGAGAAAGCTCGGATCGGGATTGTTTTTACACCATTCGAAAGCTCACGGAAAGGCGAGACAACGAGCGCTTTTCGTTGCACAAAATTTTTTTCCCTGCGCTCGATATTCAACGATTTCTTAAAAAAGATTAAAATCAGCATCGTCCTGTTTGCTCTAGCAAGCAATTAACATCCCGATTTTGCATAAAATCTGCAGTTTTCATGGAATTTTAGCTTTGAATTTAGTCGATTAAAATCGCTATATTGAAAAACGAAAGGTGCTTGCTCTCTCGCCTTTTCGAGAGCTTTATATATATCGACCTAAATCGCCAAAATCGGACATGACTGCGGCCCGCTAGAGGAGGAGTGTCCCAAAAAAAGTACCCCCGGCAGCGACCCGCAGTCGTGTCCGATTTTGATGATTTAGGTATCAATCCAAAGCTCTCGAAACGGCGAGAAAACAAACGCTTTTCATTTGCTAGATTACGTGACTTCTTGTGTATTTTTATGATCAAAAACCGGGGAAAGAAGCTGATTTATGCGAGATCGGCATGTTAATTGCGATTTAGACGTAACAAAAATCAGGCGTTTTTTTTGAGAAAAATGTTTAATAGCAAGAAAATTCTCAGAAATTTTAAGAAAATGAAGAGTGCATGTTTTCTCGCCGTTTCAAGGGCTTTCGAACGGCGTAGAAACCATCCCGAGAGCTTGCTCCGGACCGCTAGAGGGGCAATTTATTCGGGACACCTTGTATTGAACGTTTGTTACGCTACCTGGAACCCTAGAATACTATTTGACAAAGTTGATGCCGGGCTATTGGTAGCGCTAGTTTTCCATGTTTTTGCACGCCTGCCAAGACCAGGAAACTTTCGAAAATCGTGAAAATCAGCGAAAAAATGAGAAAAATTCGAATTAGAAAAATCGGAAATCGCGAAAATAGATAGAGTAGAAATTCGGTATGCCGAAAATCGGCCTCGTGTTTGGATATCGATAACAACGTTAACCGTGCCAAGAGCCCAGAAAATTGAAGCGTACGCTGGGGGGGGTACCTGCTCCTTGGTGGTGTACTGGATGGAGAGACTCTTCGGTTTCGTCTCCGGGCAGACGACGTTGTGAAGAGCACGACGGACACGCTGCGCCTCTTCGACGGTGGCCAGCTAAAAACAACGAAACATTAGATGCAAAAAAAAACATGGCACAGACGGGTTTTGGCACAGACCAGTTTCAGATTATCGAAAACTGTTGTCAAAATTCACCTTTCGCAGCTATATGCTAGGCTTTCCTTCAAGCATTTTGAGGAACGGTGCTAATGCATTTACGGGGGATCCGAATTTCGACTACAAAACGCTCCAAAAGCCGTTTTTGAAACTCTAAGCCTCAGGGAAAGCTAAGCGAAGCCGAAGCCTAGGCTTGGCTTAGCTTTGCCTCAGCCAAGCCAAACTTAGCTCTAAGCTAAGCCCTAAATAAGACAACCTCGTAAGGCTACTTACAGCTTAAAATAAGCTTCGCCTAAGCTTAAGCTCTAAAAAACCACGTAGCTGAAGCGAAGCGCCTTGTAATCTGTTACTGTCAATTTCGGACTGCCCCCCCCCCCCCCGTAACTGCATTAGCACCTCAGGAATGTCTGTGAAAATGCCCGAAACACTTACAAACATTTCGAAAACGTTGACTTTCTGGTCAACGATGCAGCCATGCAAATGCAAAAATTTAGGAGAAATGGTTTTGGGCAAAGCGGGACCAGGGACGTAGCGTAATTCAGCCCCCCCCCCCCGCCCCGAAATCGGCCGGGGCCCGAAATTTAGAAAATTTTTTAGGGGTATTCGAGGGCGTAGATTACTGCACGCTTATCAGATTTTTAAGAAAATGATGATTTTACCTTATTTTAGTGTTTTTAAAACATATGCAAATGCCCTCATTTGCATACGAGGCGGTAGGAGCCCTATTTTGGATTTTGTCACGCTCACAGTCGGTCGCTTTTGTGATTATTAAGGTTGAGAGGTTAGCACTAATTCGCTAGAATTATGCAAAGTGCCCAACGTCTTAAGATCCCCGCGCAAAGGCCACGGGTGCAAAGCCGCCTAGCGGCTTTTCAACCCTGGTTGGAATTAGTTTTTTAAAAGCATAGCAAACATAAACTTTTAATTTTACCAAATCTAAATAAATTTTAGCAGCGAGAGAATGAGAGAGACCGAGAAAAGAGCGAGTGAGAGAGAAAGAAGAGTCAGAGACAGAAAGAGGCGCCGTAGAGGCTTTTCAACCCTGGTTTTGGATGAAATTTGTATTTTTCCGGCGCCGCCCGTGGAGGAGAAGCATGAGGAAAAAGCGGAAAATCCGGGACTGGACGGGAAACCAATGCCTGCATTTGCTTCCCCCTAATAGTCCAGTGCCGGAAATCGTAGAAGGTCCACCTGCAAAAAAAATACCTTGTTGGTGACGGGCGACTCGTGACTGCCGTTGGTGGTCTTCTTAGGCATCGGCTTGATGGTCGACTCCTGCTGCTCCATCTCGTCATCAGTCGGCTTGAGCTTCTCCTCCGGCTCCCTAAAAATGCAAATTCCAAGCCGAAAAGAAAAAGTTACGTTTTTCCTCCCCGGCCTGGGGTTTTAGCTGTTCAACGACAGGCGGGGAAGGCCTAGAAAAAAAAGAGTAGATAGTCCAATCGGCGCCTTACTCTGTCTCGCGCTCCTTCTCGGCAATCTCTTGCTCCTTCTCCACCATTTCCGGCTCCGGCGTCACGGCCGTTCTATGAAGAAACCATTGCCTATTGTAAAATTAAAGAATCTAATTCGTTCTTTTGCATTAGCCGGGCGACCGAAATTTATTGCGGAAGTCTAGAAATGGTCGCACCAATTTTGGTCGCATTTGACGTCGCGAGATGGCCAACATTGCAAAAATAGTGATTGTTTTTTAGTGAAAACAGCGATTGTTTTTTATAACTTTGTTTTTTTAATTTCACAGCATTTTCTCTCGACTACGCCGTGGTACAGAATACATGTCGTAACCGAATGAAGCGAGTGTCGTGCGATTTGGCTGTAACCACAGTTCAGGCCAACGAAGGGGGGGCGCGGGGGGGGGGGAGGATGGAGAGGGGGTCCGGCCCGCCCCCCCCCCCCCCCCCGCGCGTTTGAACATAAATGGTGTGTACGAAAGATTAGCCCGGCCGCGCGCCCCCCCCCCCCCTGCTGCCCCCCGCGCGGGCGCCGCCCCCCAGGGGGCCCCTTTTCCATGGTAAAAAAGTTTTCTAGATAACTATTGAGTCTATTTCGTTTCAGGTATCATCCCAATGCGACTTTCACAGCGTTTCCTTGGCCTGGTACGAGGGCGAGACGGACAAGCGGAATGGAAAGAGGTCTGTTCAAATTTGGCTTGTCGAACTTATTCTTTCCAGGTCAGCCAGCTTCATCTCCCCGACGGTGGCAAAAAGCTACGATTTATTACGGTTTGTTGATTTTCCGTAGCTCATTTGAAATGACGTTTAGAGGGGTCACATCATTGGCGCGGCGGTGTTTTTCTTCGTCGGATACGCCTACATCAAATCGGTCATCAACCCAGACTCCATGTGGGGAAGTGAGTTTTATGCTAACAGCTTACGTCGAAATTAAGGAGTATTCTTTGTTATAATGAGATTAATTCATTAGAAAAAAAGCTACACCGTACCGGTGTTGCTACTCTTATTAATTACCTTTTTATGTGTAGGTTTTCCGGCAATATCTTTTTTCAGAGGCGGTCAATAGTATCCACGAGCAGACCGTACAATGGACGGACACGCGGAGTGAGGAGGAGAAAAACGCGCCTAATCTCGACCGGCTGAACAGCATGAAGTAGGTCGCGTTTTCCCGGTTATATTATTTGTTTATTATCAGATGATGACCGGGTAGGAGCGCCAAAAATCTCGACTTGGACGGTCAGGAAATTACGAGTGAAGGAAGAGGCCAGAATAAATGGATTCGATTGCAATTTTTCGGTTGGCACGACATGAAATGGAAAAATTTCAGACCAGGTCTAGACCTAAATTTGGACTTTTCGTTCAAGATCCATTAAAAATACAGAGAAGAAGTAAAAATATTCTAATTCTGAAAAGAAAATACTTCCACTGTATTAATAGGTCAAATGTATAATAGCTTTATTAAATATGCGTGCGTGTTCAGATCAATGACTCGTGTACCCGCAGGAAGTTTTTCCGGTTGTAAGGATCGAAGCCCAGGAATTCATGAAGCCACAACCTAAAGCTCGTGAATTTGGTGTTTTCTGGGATCTACCGAAACATCATGAACGCCGTCCGTCTGTCTTTTCCATCGGCACGCTGTCGCACTTCTGGAAGAGCTGCGGCCGAGGCTTCCCTAAACCTCATGTATCGCCTTGCAGTCTTTTCTATACTTGACAGTCTTCATCGCATCCGGATTGCACGTTCCATTAGCGTATTTGAACTCGAGGTTCCATTTCCTCAGCAATTCCATTTTTGGCAGCGGCGAGTCGTGGTCCACCTAAAAAAAAGATTTTTTTTGTATTTAAAATTTTATACTTTCATGCGTTTCTCGCTTACCTGGATTAGGAAAGGCACTGGGCGACGGTTGCCCATAAAAAAGTTCGAATTAGAGATGACCCTGAATAGTTTATGAAATTGTTGCTTCCAACCCACCATCTTGGCAGCGTTGCACATTTATAGTGTTCAGACCCGCATAGATAAGTCATTATTGAGGAATCGGGCGACAGCCTTCTAGTCATTAGATGTGCTACCTAATAAAAAGCTGTCTTAATATGTAATGCCTTACCAATTTGAAAAACTCAACTGTCACATCATTGCCTCGCACGAAAAACGTGGAGCCACAGATCCAGTTTTTCATTTTTTCGTAGATACGGAACTGTAAGCTCAATCAATTTGAACGGCTTCTAAACATTAAAATCACCTGGTCGTTGCCAACTGTATCAAATAAAAGATTCGCTTCCCGTTTTTGATCCTCGATGTTCATCGCCGGGAAATTGGCCGTCCAGATGGTGTCCTGAAAATCGGTATTTATTAATGTAGCGAAAATAGTGATATTATACCTGTTGCATTGCCCAGAAATTGAGGCCCCGCTTGGCCAGCGCCGTCACAACTCGCGCCCTCAACATCAAAATCAGTTGGTAGGTTATGTATTTCTTGTTCTCCAGATCGGCGGGTAGTGTCTTCTACAAAAATTAAGATCTCTTTTAGCGATTAGGGGGCAGCTATTTTATCGAAATTATTAGCGTTTACCTACCCGAACAAGCGAAAAGTCGACGGTTATAATCGGAATCGTGGGATCAAATGATTTAAGAGCAGCTTCAGAAGCTTCGTCGAACGCCACGGCGGCCAACCGCTCCACAGCACCGGGCAGGGGTCGCAGATTGCAGATGTGATTCTTTGTCACTTCTAGTTGATTCGAATCAAACTAGCAATAATATTCTCTTCCCCAGATCCCGTCACTTACGAAAATTATATAAGGGGCGCGGCCCACCGCGTGGAGTCGCGACACAAAGTCTTCGAATTGCGGAAGTCGCTCGATAGATTCTAGCGGTATCTGAGACGCCATTAATTCTTCTCGAATTCTGACTCACCAAATGGGAATATTTTTCCACATTCCGGATCAGCCTGCGTTGGCGGCCCCATCGAGGAAAATTGGGAATAAGAGAATAGTAGTCTGTGAAGATGGCAACTAAAACTGATCGTGCAATAAATAAAGGCTCTCGACGCTTCTGCAAAAAGCCAACAAAACAAATCCTGCCTTGCACGTCTCTTTAATTGTTATTTACTTGCCTATCAGCCAAACTGCCACCAATAAACTCCATTTGTTGCGCCACAAATACCAATTAGGATGGTTCAGAAAATTTGTCATTTTACGCTGCATGCGGCTTGCCGGGTTGTGGGGGCCCCGGGGTGCGGGAAGCTCGTGGTGAATCGAAAGATCGAAATCTACACAGTTCGCCATGTCGCCCATCCAGACACTTCACAACCTGCACCCGGCAGATGTACGGAACGCCACGCATGGAAAGTTCCGTCCAAGTGATCAAGTTGACAGAAGCACCCCGTGTCAAAAATTGTACTGCGTAAGAAAACGGTTTATTCATTCTATTTATTTACACCACAGAAACTAGTCAAAGGATACTTTTACGTTGCTAGAAACAAATCAACATCAAGACGGGTGCTTAATTGGGCTATATCACGGATGAGGCGGAGAGATGTTTAGACGGATTCCGGGTCGGCGTCGATGGCTTTGAACCTAAACAAAGTTGCGGCAAAACATTGAGCGGCTTACCAGTGTCCACACTCGCAACGTTTCGGCACGCCCTTGCGCACAACCATGAAGTTAACGTGACCACTGTCCGGCTCGCCTAGAATGAAATAAGGAAGCGAGACGAAAAATGCCTACACATGCAACCGATCATGCGGTCCTGGAAGTGAGCAGGCACCAAGTTGGGCTTTTCCTTGGTCGTCTGCTCAGCGCGGTAGTAGACTTTTGGCTCGTAACGCTATAAAAATTGATCATGAAGAGGGTTGAACTTAGAAGCAATCGATCGAAAAATACCTACATCATCTCCAGCGAGACGAGCAATCAGCATCTTCTTCTCACGACCAGTGGCGTGCTCCAGGGGGTCAGGGTAGTGTCCGTAGTCATCGGGGTTGGGCTGAATCACATAGTCAGTGGAAAATCAATCCGTAAAACCTCGGCGGCGAGTCCACGGGTGGAGACTGCGGAAACGTTGGTGACCCGCTTGGCGAGAGCCGCCATCACCGAACGAGCAGCAAGTTGAGCCATCTGGGAAGAGGGCAAATAATGTAGAGCAACTCGCACAATACGGCAAAAGCACTGGAGAATTCGTTCAATAACATAATTCTGGCATTCGTGAAGCCATCACCAAATAAATCCGCAAAAAACACAAAATATTTATTCATATACAGAAAAAAAGATTTTGGAACAAACAAACAATGAAACTCAACATTCATCGAAACCTAGCACTAGCTATAAAACCGTAAAATTCTGTGAGCAATCAATTCTTGATGGCGTTGTCGTAGATTCCAGCATAGCGCCCCTTCCTCTCCAAAAGTCGAGCGTGCAGCCAGGCCGGCAATGTCTTCTTGTTCTCATTGTAGTCGGGATCAATCCATTTCGAGGCTCTAAAAAAATAGTAAAAACAGCGCAAAATCATTACACACCTGTAGTCCTTGATCTGCGCCCGTCGTAACCGCTCTTCGAGGATCTCTTCTTCCATTTCTTTGGGATCACGGTACATGTCGAGATAACTAAAGTAAATCAGTCTTTGACGGAAAAAAATGCCATACAGATCAAATGGCATCGCCTTTACAGGAAATTCACGTTGTGCTGGCTTGAGCGACTCGGTGAATTCGTACTCGTAGATTGGCGACTTCAGCCCTAGATTCGAAATTGAGTTCTGTAAATATGAAACAAACCGAGACCATGAAGCGCCTCCTTACAAGACAGATCATAGCTCGTCTGACAAAAGCGGATCGCTGATGGCGTAAGCTGCTCTTCACAGGCTTTGTAAAATTCCGCTATTTTCATCACTCGCCCTCCAAGGCTCCTAAGAGAATATTGCTGATGAGCAAACGACCAACTTGTCAAGCTGGAAGTCGAAGTCGAGCGGCTTCTTGTGGCGGAAGAGGACGGCCGCTAATCGATGATATCCAGTACCCATGAAAGGGAGTGGGCGCAGATACGGAAGAACCTAAATAAATAAGTAAGAAGATTCACCCGACAACTCCAAACCTCAACACCTTCTTTCACCAGCTTTCCATCTGGTATATCCTTGACCATCCATTGAACAACTTCGCCTTCCAGTCCTTCGAAAACATTCCCGTCTAGATTCACGAGCAGAATCGTGGAAAAGCTCCCAGTAGCAATGTTTTCAATCTCCACCTAAAAAGGTGCAATTTATTGTCAACGGGGAACACTACCTTGGGCTCATGGGACATGCTCTGAGCGACTATGATGTTCCCATTGTACATTTCGGCATCGCCAAACGCAACGTTGAGGTCTTGGACGTTGTGAAAATAAGTGTCCTCGCCAAAGAGATGCTCGAAGATCTGGAAAAAAAAGGCTGAAGAGGGTAATGGGAGATCTCAATTTCCAAAAAGCGGATGACATGTTCGCAAATCAATCAGTTTGAAATTAATGCATTTAGAATTTCACACCGCCTTAGCACTGCGATTTTATTTTCGTCGGCCTTTACAACCGACACGTATTCTATTACCGTGCCGGTCAAGATTCACGACGGTCAAAAATGTCGATAAACTACGCAGTAAACATACTTTGTAATGATGATAGATTTCGAGATCTTGTTTTTCCACCTTGTCGACATCGATGAGAACTAAAAAGAGCCCTTGTTTAGCGCGAAAAATTCGATTACGCTCTAATCGTCTTGCTTTTCGTTCGAGCGCGGCCTTTTCGGCATCCGACTTGCCCGCAACTCTTCGGGCATCCTTCTCGGCAAATCCGATGTTGATCTGAGCATCTAAATTCGCGTTGAGCAAGATAGTTCGAGTTACCCAAGTCTTTCTTGATTAGACTATCAACGGAACGATTGTAGTCGGATGGCTCGATCAGGCGGAGCTGGGGCTGCTTTTCCGGTTTGTCTATACGGGCCTTGTACCAGCGATCAATCTCATAAAATCTAAGAAGGGTCTAGAGAATAACTAGCTAGCAATACCTGTTTGGATAGAAAGCGGCGGGGCCGGCCCAAGCGATCACCCGGGGGCGTATGGGTCGATTGATGCGTGGCGTCGAACGAGCGGATCGATATTTCCGAGAGACGAGACGGGCATAGTCTTTCCCGCTCATTTACTGCAAAGAAAGAATAGTGAAAAGTTGAGGAAAAGCCGAAAAAGGTTTAGATTATCAAGAAAGCTCGCAAGGTGGGGCGCACAAAATTTTGGGCCGGGTGGAGATGCCAGCTTTTCACGGGAGATGAACGTCAAGTGGAGCATACCGGAACCGGTGAAAAATAAAAAGATGTTTACATTTTTTCAGGCAAATCGGGTAAATATCGACCGAAGACGAGCTAAAAAATCAAAAACTAGGAATGGAAAATTATGAATAGTCATTTTTGCTGTTTTCTTAGCTTTTTGAGTTTCATCATCTCATTCCTTGAAGCTTCGGAATAAGAATCCCGAGCTTTTCCTTTAGATCCCGAAAAGTGGATTTGAAATACACACTCCTTGACAATTGACACCGAATGATGTGCAAAAACAAAAGAGCTTTTTACTAAACCGAACTCGGCTATCCCTGAAGCTCCAAAGCTCTAGTAAAAAAACCCACGAAATTGGAAATTTAAAATTACCCAAACCCCTCGCACTTCTCCGCTTTCGGGGTTCGAAGTCCTCATTATCCACGCTTATCCCGTCCTTACGCCACGTTCGCCACTTTTCCAAAACATGTCGCAGTCAGCGATGGGGCAACTGTTCCCCCACTGGTGTATTGATTACGGCGCCAAGTTTAATGGACCTGTTTTTGTTGTCTTGGCTGGTTTTCAGTTTTTTCTGTTCATTTGGTTCGTCTTCGTTTCAAATTTTCTGATTTTCAGGGATTCCAAGATGAGCCGGACCAGGAAAGAAAGTGCCCATCGGATGGCCACGGCGATTGCGGTAAGGATCACGTTTTGGTTTTTGAAAAAAATGGGGGAATTTTGGCCGAATTCCATAGAACTATTTATTTTAAGGGTTGTAAAGCTTTTGATTTCTAGGATAAACTTTAGGAGAGGTTATTATGGTGAACGGGATTGTGATCTGGGGAGGGGGGGAATTGACCGGCAATCGCTTGAAATCTTGTCTCGCCTTCTTCGTCAACAAACACCGTGATAAGCGCTGTGTATGTTATTCGTCTGACTCCCGTCCGAGTTTTCACCTCATTCGCCTACACAAAACTTTTCCCCTTGCACGCATGTCGTCACAGGTTCGTTTTTTTTGCAGAACCGAATCGGGTTCAACTTTCAAAGGTTCCTTTTGGGGTTGCTTCCACCGCCCACGGCTATGTTTGCCCCGGTCTCGAAATGGACGCCAAATGAAATCACCATGTCCCGGGTCTTGTGGGTGGCGTTTCCCGGTAGTTTAGAGAAGACGGTTAACCTAAGCGCCAGCCTTCTGTGTTCCGGGACTGCGGCCGCTTGCCCCCATCTGTTTGCTTTGCGGCTGGCCACGCTTTCATATTTTTCACTACATTATGGCGCATATATAAGAGAAAACGACTGGAATTCGGGCACCACGTAGCGATGGCCAGCGTCGATATTGCCACCCCGTTGACCCCGGTGCATAAGATTGCAAGCAGCTTTGAAGAGAAGGATATTTTGGAATGGCAAAAATCGGAGCGCGGAAGACTTGCCCGGCAACCATCCCTAGGCGTTGACGTTGGGGTAAGCTTTGTTATGTGGGGGCGGGTTTAGATGAGGGGTTTTTGAGATAAAGTAACCTAGTGGGCGTGTTTTTTAATCATAAGCAGTGTATCATTTTGATTACCTTAAAGTCCTACCATTTTAGCTAATTCTAACCTGAAAACGCCTACGCGGCGAGATAGATCAGTGTTGTTTTGATAGTACCAATATTTGTTAGTCACAAAATTTAGGGTAACTATCCATTCTATTAACTGAAAATCCGGCGTTCGGCAGACTAAAACTGGGCCTATTTGCTCCCACCTGGCCTACATTAGCGGGGCGAACGCTGTTATCGCGAATTTCCAATCACCGAATCTCCTATCGTTCGGGCATCTCGAGAAAGGGGGGAGCTATTAGCTTGTTTATTCTGGCCCATTAGCGTTCCGGAAACCGCTTTCTCTGGCTTGCCGCGATCAAACCTGGCGCCATTTGCAACACCCAGAGATCTCACCCCATTCAGCGTTGGATTTCTCGTTATTGTTGGAGCCACGCCGAATCGGGCATCGATTTATTTGCGCTTTCGCCGCCTGTCTTTTTATGGGAGCAACTTTTCCCGCACTGCTTATCCCTGACCTATAGTTCAGGAAAACAGCGGCGACCTTGCATTTTTCTTGGATAGAGTTTTATCATTCGTGGCGCCAACGGGCCCCATTTTTGTTTCTTGTCGGGTTGACGTGCTATTGCTAGGTTGGAATGGGCACTCGATTGAGGCGTATTTCTGAGCACGTTCGTTATTTCCGGGAGGCTGGCGGTGATAATGAGACCAAGGTGTAGTGTTTGTTGGCCAAAATTGCAATATTTATTCAGCTGTCTTGACCTTTAATCGTGCTTATTTTTAGAGCTCCGAAGAATGGAAATCGTCTACAAAGAGGGAAACGCTCGGAGCCCTTGAGCAAGAGCTGGCCAAGCTCGTCGCGACCACCCATGATGGGCCTGAGATGGAGATGGCGAGAAAGGAGATGGGCGGCTTCCTCAACTTGTTCTCGCGATTCCTTCGAGCGAAGACGCAAATCGACTGGAAGTCCATTCAGCCTCTTCCGGAGGGCGCCATCAAGCCCTACAAGCAGGTATGCCGTTTTTACTTGCCTTTTTTATCATTTCTATAGCTCGCGCCAGTTGCCGATGATCAAGTAGCGTCAATGCTCAGCAAGCTGGTTGTCATCAAGCTGAACGGAGGTCTCGGCACATCCATGGGATGCAAAGGCCCGAAATCGGTGATTGCTGTCCGAAACGACCTTACTTTCCTCGACCTCACGATGCAGCAGATTCAGGTTTTTTATTCTCATGAAAATAGGCCTTATTCTTAGCAACTAAACCGCACCTACAATGTTGATGTCCCGCTGGTTTTGATGAACTCCTTCAACACCGATGACGATACGCAGAAATTGCTCAAGAAATACGCGAACGTCAAGGTATGGAAATTTGTTGGGCGACATTACGAAGCTGATTTAGGTGTCCGTCGTATCCTTCTGCCAGTCGCGATACCCACGAATCAACAAGGAAACCCTGATGCCGATCGGCAAGGACATGAGCTCCAATGACCTCGAAGCGTACGATTTTGGCCTTGACGTATATTTTTTTAATAGCTGGTACCCACCTGGTCACGGCAATTTCTACGAGGCCTTCGCCAATTCTGGGCTTCTTGATAAGTTCCTCGAGCAAGGAAAGGAGGTATTCAAGATCTCACGTATACAATCCTATGACTTTAGTTCTGCTTCTTGTCGAACATTGACAACATGGGAGCCACTGTGGATCTCAGCATCCTGAACTTTGTGATGAACCCCACCGACCAGCAAGAACGGCCCGAGTTTGTGATGGAGGTATAATTTGATTTGAAATACTGTTCCTAAAGTTTTTTCTAAACTCGTTTTTCCTAAACTCATTTTTTCTAAAGCTGCCTAAAATTCATTTCCTAAACCGCTAAATATCGAAAAGCCCTCAGTTCTTTAGTATTATGCCTGACAAATCAAAAAAATTCTAATAAATTCAGATATGCCTAACAATGTAATAGGAAGTATTTTATTGCGCATTTAGCCTAGAAATTCGAAGTGAAAAGCCAAAAAAAAGTTTTACAAAAGCCAGATAAATGCTTTGATAACAAAAATGACAGCACCCGCCTTTTCTTGATACTGTTACGCATCGCTATTTACATGTCAAATTTTATGAAAAACTTTAGGAAATGAACATAAGCCATTTATTTTATTAGGGTAAATTTTGTTTCATGTTCGTCTCTTTTAGCCACAAAACATTTTTTAGGTTACCGACAAGACGAGAGCCGATGTGAAGGGAGGAACACTCATCCAGTACGAGGACAAGCTCATGCTGCTCGAGATTGCCCAGGTCCCGAAGGACTATGTCGACGAGTTCAAGAGTATTTCAAAATTCAGGTGAGCACAATAATTCGAAAAATTTTACGCCCATCTTTTCCTTTCAGAATATTCAACACAAACAATCTATGGGCCAACCTCGGTGCTATCAAGCGTGTCATTTCCAACAACGAGCTCGATATGGAGGTAGCTTATTCTCTATTTTCGATTTTCTATTTATTTTTATTTTAGGTGATTGTTAACCCGAAGCACCTGGATCGAGGACTAGATGTGATCCAGCTGGAGACTGCTGCCGGTGCGGCCATCAAGAATTTCAAGTATTCTTGCGGGATCAACGTGCCGCGTTCCCGTTTCTTGCCTGTGAAGAAGTCGTCAGATTTGCTGCTTCTAATGTAGGATCTCTTACTGAGTTTTGAAGTCTACGCTCGTTTAGGTCCAACCTGTATGATATCGACAGTGGAAGTCTTACGTTGTCGGCTCTTCGCTCCTTCCCCACTACTCCTCTTGTGAAATTGGGATCTTCTTTTGACAAAGTCAAAGACTTTTTGTCCCGATTCCAGGTAACACAGCGCCGACCTTCCAAGTTATTTTTAGGGTATCCCCGATCTCCTCGAGCTTGACCATCTTACCGTTTCTGGTGATGTTTGGTTCGGACGCGACGTATCACTAAAGGTTTCATTTAAAAAAACTTACTTCAACCTCTCTTTCAGGGCACCGTCATCATCATCGCCAACCATGGAGACCGAATCGATATCCCGCCGGGCACGATGCTCGAGAACAAGATTGTTTCTGGAAATCTGAGAATCCTTGACCATTAGTTTTTTTGTGTGTTTTGTGCCATGCAAATAGTCTCACCCCCCTGTGCCATGACTGTGAATTCCATTTCTGTGTAGTTCTTTTCGCTTCTTCGAGATTTTGCCTTCTTGGATCGGCGCTAATATTATAGAACTCTCGCGTGTCGATTGTTTTTGCATTGTCCAGATTTGATAAATTTTTAGTTTTAGCCTCAGACGTGAAAAGACATATCCAGGCATAGATTAGCCAAGAAACTTCTAGATGTCAATTTTGCAGCCAGTATGCAAATGCCGTCCGGCTTTGGCGAAGCTTATAACGATAAGTATCTGATCATCTTACAACCCATTTTAACTATAAAGTTGTTCTAATAACTTAGATTATTGATTGCAATGTATTCGTTAGTGTTGTTTAGCATTATGCACTAATGGGGCGATGTTTAGGGCCACAGAGCTGCCGTTCGTTTGGTTGGCCGCCATTCGCTTTGGTGTTTGTAGTTGGGTGCTCGAATTGACCGGGCTCGCGCACTTTTCGAATCTGCTGCGGCTCCTTTCCTAACATTCAATCATCTATCCAAACCCCCGAATCGCTTGCTTTTTAGCCATATAAACAAGATGCACACGATCCTCCTGATGCAGCCGACCGGAAAACTGGAGTCGAGAACGTGGAGCGACTACGAAACCCTGCGGGAATGTCTTGAAGGTATTGTGTTAATTTCTTAACTCTCCTCTTACAAGGAGTGGTTTCTAGGTGATCTTGGAATTTTGCACTGTCACATTAGCTCATTCGATAGAGCTTCAAATTCTGAATAAATTTTTTTTAAAACAAACCAAACAAGCCTCCCAAAAAAATTTTTTTAAAATTTTTTTTTTTTTGGGTTTTGGGAAAAAAAAAAAAAAATTTTTTTTTTTTTTGTTTTTTGTATCTCACCAAAAAAAAATTATTTATTTTAATTTTTTTTTTTTTTTTTTTTTTTTTTTTTTTTTTTTTTATTTTTTTTTTTATTTTTTTTTTTTTTTTTTTTTTTTTTTTTTTTTTAATTTTTTTTTTTTTTTTTTTTTTTTTTTTTTTTTTAATTTTTTTTCCATCCTAAAAAAAACAAAAAACCCCAAAAGTTTTTTATTATTTTTATAAAAAAAAAACAAAAAAAAATTATTTATTTTTTTTTTTTTTCCCCCAAAAAAAAAAAAATATTTTTTTTTTTTAAATTTTATAAAACAAAAAAAAAAATTGGGATTATTTTTTTTAATTTTTTTTTTTTTTTTTTTTTTTTTTTATTAAAAAAAATTCTGAACAGAACCCTGCTTTCAAAAAATTCTGAACGGCAACGGGCGTCGAGAATAAGTTTCTCAAAGTTCGCATGTGTTAAGTAGAGGCCAAAAAAAACTCGAATCCAGCCGTTTCAGAGCGACTTTTCTTAAAAACCGTAGTCGTGCAGCAGTTTTTGGAAGATGGGTTTTGTTCAGAATTTCATGCGCTATCAAATCAGCTATGTAACATCGCAAAATTTCAAGAGCACCTAAAAATCACTCCTTGTTAGCTTCTCCCTCAGATTCTGCCTGTTTATTATCTACCCATCTATTTTCAGCGATCTGCAAAATCTATGAGGAATTTTTGAAGAAGCACAACCCCGGGCAGCCATCAATTACCTACGATGTAAGCAATCTGTTCGACTTCATCGACAAGCTCACCGATCTCAGCTGTATGGTACTGAATAAGGTATCATCTCTTTCCTTTTTTTATAATGGACTCAGGATCGTACGTACATGCCCCACAACAAGGAATGGATCAAGGAGAAGATCTTTGCCATGCTGAAAAATCAAGCTAGCGTCCAGTAGCCACCGCCGCCAAGCCCTACTCAATATGTATTGACCACAGAAGCCGGTATTTCATCTTGTTCCACCACGTACGTCCATTGAACGAATCATCTCTTTGTTATTTTCAATGCTTTACTTGTTTCTATAGAATTGATAAATTTATTGAGGGCAATGAGATGTGCAATTAATTCGGGTGGAAGCTGCCGCGCAGGCTTGACATCCAGGTTTCGTTGAGTTTGGCCTGGAAGTTGGATCGAAATGAAACGGGGGGAATGTCAAACCTGTTCTTCTTTAGCATTACGCCCGGGCTCCGGTTGGATATCATGTTTTTCATAGTCAAATGTGGTATCTGAAGAGAGATGAGCTTGGTATAGAAAAAGTTTTAAAATCGGAAACTGTGTGTGATGCTCACCGTTATTCCATGCTGGCCTGCCGAGCGGGTCGGGGCGAAGGCTCTGCATCCAGCTTTGGTTCAAGGCTTCCTAGAAAAAAGATGAATGAATGAAACATGAATGAATGCGAAACCTGCTCGTCATTTGCATTCCGGCCGTACTCCGGCTCGGACTTGATTTCGGTTTTGTTGTAGTCGACAGTTGTATCTAAATTGTCATAGGTATATTTAGAAAACTAGAAATTTAGAAAATTTAGAAATGAAAACTGCTGAAAATAGGCGTACCATTATTCCAGGGCGGTCTTTCATTATTGCTCTTCCTCGAATGGGCAGTCCGGCCACGAGACACACTGCGCTGCAATCTTATGGTGTTTATTTTATACAATTTTTTTTACAGTTTTAGATTTAGTTTAAAGCTTAAAGTTGGCTAGGTTTTTGCGTAAAACAAAAGGAGCCTCACCTCAGTGGGGGCAGTTCTTGGAGGCTGACTCTTCGATCGGCTCTTGTTCGTCATTTCGACTAAAGTTTTTTTCGGCTTCAGTGTGGGGATTTTTGGGCTGGTGGTGGCCATTGGAACAAATGGCCGACCGGATAAAGAATGCACAGCTTTTTATCCACCCCAGCTACATCCGGGGCGCTCATTTGGGAACCATTGATGGTCAAGTAAAGTGGTGGGCTAGGGAATTGATAATGACGATTACTACGTGGTTAGAGGGAAGTTATTTTCTCTGTAACGTAAAAAAAAAGATTAAAGAAAATGCGTTTCTAAAAATCATAAAAAGTTTAGGGTTCTCGACTATTAGCGGGAGACCAAATTTTGCCTGTAATTCTCGATGGTCCTATAACAAAATATGAACCATTTTGATTGTATTTAACATAGTTTTTAGATATAAAAAAATCATGAATTTCCGAAAATTTTGGATTTTTTGGTAAAAAATGTAGGAAAAATGATTTCGTATTTTCAGAATTAAAAAATATTTTTGATAACTTTCTAGCAATCAAGAATTACTAAAAACGCCAAAACTGCGTTATATATTATCAACAGGTATAAGCGGAAAAAAAGCAAGTGGTTCCCCCGCTAACAATCCAGAACCAAGTTTAGAACTGTAGGCGCAACATTCCGCACTGACCGCTGGCATTTTCACGCTTTTTGCGCGCCGACTGGCAAGGGGTGGGTTTTTGTTTCGGGGCTTATTTTGGCGTGCCGTTAGTCGTTGCGGCATTTCCATGGCGGCGGCCCGGTTGGCCGAATTGTCCGCCGGGTGGACGGCCAAAAATGCAGCATACATGATCAGCGTTTCTTGGTTTTAGTGCTGCCGTGGGGGTGTACAGGTCGTAAACAATGGCCCTGTCTCGTGTATAGTCGAAATTTTAGATGAAAACATCGTGTATCTAATTCAGAGCTAAAAACACGTGCAAACGGCGAAAAATTATAGTTTTTAGCGGGTTTTCGGTTCTTTGGTGTTATCGGTGGGGGAGGGAAGACCCCCTCTAGCGGTCCGCAGTGAGGTCCGAATTTTACGATTTAGATATCGATCGAAAGCTCTCGACGAGTTAAGAAGATATGTTCTCTCCGATTTTTAAAATTCCCGTATTTTCACCAAATTTTTCATCGTTTTTTGAGCATAAATTACGCTTCTGAAAAACTCAATTTAATCGGCTTCAGTCCCACCCAAGCTGTTTTTTTCTCAAATGCCTTTAGAAAAGCCGACCTTGGGCTGCCAGGAAAGGTGCAAAAATTTGGGTACACATAGGATAACGGGGGGGAAAAAATAACGGGGGGGCACTCAAACTTTTTATATGATAAAAGTATTTTTAAATATGCTTTTTTCGGGCTGTAAAAAAAACTCTTAGTATATTTTTCGGTCCTCTATCGAATGGCATTTTCAAAATTTCGAAAATATTCAAAACGCCGAAAAAATTTTTCCCCCCCTGTTATCCTATGTGCTGCCCATAGTTTTCAAAAATAGTTTTTAGGCTATAAAACTTTTATAATACATTTTTTCGCGTTGTAAAAAAATCTCTTAGTATATTTTTTGATGTTCTATCGATTCACGTTTTCAAAATATCGAAAATCTCAAAAATTTGGCTTTCCCCCCCCGTTATCCTATGTGCTGCCCATGGATTTTGATCAATTTTTGTTTATTCGATAAAAAATTTCATTTACATTATTTCGGGCTGAAATTAATTTTCCTAGGGCAGTTTTCGACGCTTTATCGAATGACGTTTTCAAAATACCGAAAATGTCGAAAATGTCGAAAATTTGACTTTCCCCCCCTGTTATCCTATGTGCTGCCCATAGATTTTCCTCAATTTTTGTTTATTCAATAAAAAATTTCTATTACATTATTTTGGGCTGAAATTAATTCTCTTAGTATATTTTTCGACGCTCTATCGAATGGCACTCGCAAAATCCCAAAGTAATTGCAAATTTCATAATAATGAGTGCCCCCCCGTTATTTTATTCCCCCCCCGCTATCCTATGTGTACCAAAATTTGGAAAATGGGGTTTTGTTAAAGACACTTGCATGGGAAATGGCATCGAAAATCCAGCCAATCTCGTAAAAATGTTAGTAAAAGTTATAAAAGATTATTCTGGAATTTCAAAACTCGGAGAGAACACATTTTTTCAGCTCGTCGAGCGCTTTCGATAGATCTATAAACCGTTCAAATCGGACATCACTGCGGACCGCTAGCATGAAGTCTTTTTTGGGACACCCTGTGCTTTATTTGGAGTTTTTATGAATTTTCAGGTTTGGTCCCCTCAAATAAAAACATCCCCAACCACTGCCATCTTTTGTTTATGTTTATGAGGTGGTTTACAGCCGGGGGCGAGGCGCGCATACGCGATCAATTACCCGCAGCACGCGTCAAGCGCCGTCTATAAAGATTGGGGGCGATTGGGGTAACTAGCTGAGGACGATTATGAGCAAGAGGAGGATGAGGAGGAGGGCATATGGCCCGAGAGGATAAAGACATTATAGACACACTGCACATCCATTCACAACATTTGGCAACAGATTGCATCGCGGCAGAGCGATCTAGAGAGAGGCCGAGGCCATCAAGAAGCGGGCAACGCGCTTAGGCTAAGGCAACCAACTGGAAAAGCTAAATTTCAGGTGAAAAATGTGGTAATTAGAAACATTTTTTCTTTCTTTCTTTTCAAAAAAACGGCAAAAAACCGTTTATCGCTTTCAATCTAAATTTTTTTCTAAAATAAACAGAGAAAATCTTTCTTAACTCTGTTTTTATTATTCCTAAAGGCAAATGCCGTACCAAACTCCATTTAAAAAAAATACAAAAATAATTCAATTTTCGACCAAAAATCGCCGATGTTCACCCAAAATTTAGAATTTAAAAATGTCTAAACGTTTTTCTGTAGTTTGTCCACTTGAAATACAGCTAAATTTTACTAAAACTCGCTAGGAATTTCTGAGTTATATACCCCCGATAATGCAAAAGCACCGTTTTTGTTCTTCATTATCGCCCCAAAAAAGAGCCTGGTTTGCCGAATTCAAGCAACAATTTCGGCAATCAGTTTGATCAAATTGCATAAAATTAGCGCATCCTAATGGACCGGAAAAGAATTGGCAGAATCCGGAAATTCGCCCATTTTCCACTAGAATCCCGCAATAAAAGCGTTCCCTCGGGGCCCGAGTGGACATTTTTTATCTATGCCTTCCCTTCCCGGTTTCTTGACTGCATTGGTGGGCTGGAATATCGACATTGTGAAAAGGCTTCTTTTCAGAAGAAGAAGTTTAAGAAGGAGAAGAAGGGAGCCCGGACCGGCAGCGCGGAAAATATCGATGACGTCGAGGAGCCGGCCGCGAAGAATGACAAGCCAGAGGTTTGCAGGCCAAGGGGTCGCGGCAGTTTAGCAGTTACTTGCTCTACGGAGCTTTAAAGTATACCAAAATATGCGCCAGACCTGGACGAACATTTTAGTATATTTTTTGGCCCTGTAGGATCAAGGGCAGACGAGATACAAATGTTGACGTAATCTTGCAGCTACACGATCCCTCGCCTACTGTATCTCGGCTCCCCTCTATTATACCAGGCTGTAAAGTATATCAAGAGATGCGCCAGACCAAGATGAAGCTTTTGATATACATTACGGCCCTGTAGCACGACGGGGAGCCGGGATATAGTAGGCTAGGGTCCAAATAGCGGCAATCTTACGCCAAAGCTTGTATCTCATCTCCCCTTTATCCTACAGGGCTGAGAAACATATCAAAATCTTCGTCTTGATCTGACGCATCTTTTGATATACTTTACGGCTCCGTTGGATAGCGGGAAACTGAGATATAGAAGCTGGGAGTACCTGAATCGTCTTGATTGCAGCGCAGCGGGATGGCGGCCGTCGAGGAAAGCTTGAGAAAGAAGAACAAGAAGAAGAAGGGCGACGCCGGAACACGACAACATAAGACCGGTGGCGACATGATGAACAAGACGCAGGACGGCGGAGACGGTGTACCCATTACGCCACCACCACCTACAAAGTCTGTCCGAACGTTCGGCTACATTTGTGGAGTGACAGTTTAACAATGTTTCATTAGGAAAAGCTCTGGGATCTACAGGGGGTCGCCCAAAACCCCTCGGCGTTTGGACGTCTTCTATCGATTGGGGACCAAATTTTTACCAGCGATGGGGATCCATAAACCTACGTGCAGCCCAATTTTCTCAATAAAATATTTTAAAACAAAAAAGTTGTCGCGAAAATTAAGATTTATTTGGCTGTGCTGACCATGATTTTGATGGCTTTCGACCTTGAAATGGTTAGCAAAAATGAAGCTGGCATTTTTTTCCACCCAGAGAATTTTTTTGTTTACGGAAGTCGTCTAATTTCAGGATTTACATTATTTTTTATTAACAAAATGGCCGAAAACCTACCCGAAAATGACCATTTTTCGGAAAATTTATCAAAATCGGGTTGCTAATTGCGAAAACAGCCAAAAATGAGTACCAGCTTTCCAAAAAAATAGTTTTTGGCGATACCTTTTTTGTTTTACAATATAACCTTAGAAAATTCGGTTGCACATAGTTTTTATGGGTCCCGATCGCTGGTAAAAATTTGGTCCCGATCCGATAGAAGACGACCAAATGCCAAGGAGAGGTTTTTGTGGCCACCCTGTACACCTATTTCTTTGCAGCTTCGAGCGGTCAGGCAGCCGAAAGAAGAACAAGCAGAGCCGCGAGCTGCGCAGCAAGATGGCCAAGTTCAAGCGGCCGCCGAAGGGCGATCAGCAGGCGATGGTCGAGGCGTTCGCCAGGGCCACCTGCGAGAAGGGCATCAATGGGTTGAGAGCCGATTTCTCGAGGCACGAACGCAAATATGATATGCACAAGTGCACCGTGTTTGCCCGCTACCCCGGCAAGAATCGCTATAAGGTGATTTTATGGGTACTTTTGCGGTGCTTTTGCATTATCGGGGGAAAGTTGATCAAAGGCCTTATTAAAATTACATTTTTTAAACAGAATTTTGAAGCCTTTTACCGTTATAGCTAGCAAAAAAACCTCTTAAAGACGCTTACTTTCTTGAAAAAATTGAATAGTTTAGAAAAGTACGTTTTTGCCCTGACCCCCCGCAATAATGCCAAAGAACCATTAGGTAAGAGTTTACTTTACCCCCCCCCACAGCCGAAGGGTCTCAAAGTTTTCGGTATTTTCGCTTATTTTGTCGGGATTTTTGCAACACCATTCGATTGAGCGTCGAAAAATATACTAAGAGTTTTAATTTGAGCCTACAATAATGTAAAATTAAACAGTTATAGCCAAAAACTTCCGGCTGGGGGGGGTAAAGTAAACCGTAGCCAACCATTATTTTCAACTTTTTTGTAAAGATTTCCAGTGTAGGCAATGAATAAAATCGGAAAGCATTTGAAGACCTGCTTCAGGACGTGGGCTGCTTGGATGAGCAGCGTGTCCGGCTTCTGAACGTGGGCCCCGAAAACCCTGACGGCTACATCCACGCAAACTACGTCGCCACGCTCAAGGCCGAAAACAGGCAATTTCCTTCGGAATCTCGTGATACGCTCACTTTTCCAGGTTCATCTGCACCCAGGCGCCGCTCGACTCGACCTGCCCCGATTTCTGGAATATGATCATGCAGGAGGAGGTCGAGATCATCCTCATGTTGTGCGATTTTGAGGAGCGCGGCCAGAAGAAGTGCGCCATGTACTTCCCACGTACGTGTTGCATCGATTGGCTTAATCTGTTTCCGCCTTGCAGTGGCCGTCGACGAGACGAAGACGTTCGACGCGTACCAGGTGACGAAAACCGAGGAGAAGGACATGGAGTTTGTCAACGAGACCAAGGTCAAGATCCGCATCAACACGTTCCGCGTGCAGAAGGGGGACAAGTCCCACGTCTGCAACCAGTACATTTGGCTCGCCTGGCCCGATCGCGGTGTCCCGCCCGCCGATATGGCCTGCATTGAACTGCTCCAGAAAGTGTCCGTCACCACGTTCGTCTACAGCCCTTCACATGACGCGCCCTTATTTAGGAAACCGATAGTGGTGCACTGCTCGGCGGGAATCGGACGTACCGGAAGTGTTGTGCTGCTGCAGATGATCCTCGAGCTGTTCGCCGATTCGAGGCAGTTCGGCGACATTGAGGGGCTGATGCTCCAGATGCGCAAGTCGCGCGCGTGCAGCGTTCAGGTGGGCCTTGGCATCGGTTGCTTTTCGACATAAGGAGTGTTGGAGCTTTTTCATTATCGGGGGGGGGACGAATTTTAAGTTTTCCCTCTATTTGAATCCATCAAACGCCCACTCAGAACGCCGCGCAGTACCTGTTCGTGCACGAGGTGCTGCTGTGCTACTTCCGCAACCAGAAGCTGCTCGCCTCCGACCAGAAGGTCTTCCAGGATCTGACCGCCGCCTATTACAAGGTAAGTCTAAGCCTAAGCCTAACTTGGACCGAAGCCTAACTAAGCCTAAGCCTTCATTCTTATCTTTTGCTCCTCCTATAATTCTTCTGATTGGTAAATTCTTTGAATCGATGGGTCACGGACCTAAGCCAAGCCTAAGCTAATCCGTCCCACTGCGCCCGAAACACCAATCCATTTCAGGCAGTCGAAGCTGCGAATTGACCGGATGTACGCCCCGCCCGACTTGCCGCCGGCCCCCACCATTTAAATGCCTCGAAAACAATTGTGTCTCTTATATATTTATACCTGGAGAAACATGAGAATAAATCTGCGCTCTCCGCTGCTCGATCATTGGGTGCTTCTGGGCAACGATTTTTCATCCCGTTCACCTTCGAGGCGGATTGGGCATTTTAAACACCGAATTCAACGTGCATCTGGAACAACTTCAAAATAGTGCCAAGAAAGCTTTTGCACGTAACTGGGGAGGTCTTGGGGTAGTTGCTAAGATTTATTGAAGTGTTGCATTTTCGTGATTTTGGAGCAAAGGGGTCCCTTGGATGTTTTCAAAAATCCTCGTCGCGCTTGCCACCGCAACCAGTAGCATGCAGGATACCATTCGAACCGCCTTAAAACGCTGATTCCGATGTGCTAACTGGCGTAGCTGCAACGTCGCGTATACGGTCGCTATGATTTTTTGAAGTGGCAACAAGGCAACAAGCCGTATCTTTCAAGGCTGTTTTCGCGAGAAATCAACGGTGCCAAATAGTTTTATTTTTTTGCATCGGAAAGAGCATTAAAAACAGTGTGGAAAAAGGTTTAGCACCAACCTGGGAGGGCCGGGTTCGGTTGCTGTGATTTTTTGAAGTTTTGTCGAACCTTTGCCGGCCCCCAGAGTTGCGTGTTACCGGTTAGCCATCTCACTCCCCATTATTTACGATCACAAGTTGTCTCTATTAATGCAAACTACCGTCTCTCAGGTTATACAGTTGGGCAAGTTTTATGGGCGACCTTGGCACGGCAATCGTTTTTTACGGGTGCCAAATTGCGCAACATGCGCCCCGGCCAGTTTGGGATGCCCCAAGTTTTTACCTTCAAAAACTTGCGTTTTACGACCACCTGAGCGTGGTTTGTACGTGTAAAAGGTAGTCGGAAATTCGTATAAAACTAAATTGACTTTATTATCTAAATTGAGCTTGTGAAAAATTTGATTCTTGGCTATTTTCGAGAACACAGGGTTTCCCAAAAAAGCAGCCCTCCGGCATTTCGCCGTATTTCATTGGACCGGTACCAAAATTGCACTAGAGGTGTATCAGGCCGTAAATAACCACAATCCGAAGTTATAGCCCGTTCGCTACAGTGGTTCTCGAGTAAACCAAAATACTGTTTTCTACGGAATTTTTAACAGTTTTTTCGGCTATCTTTTTGACCTTTTCATCGATTTGCATCGACTTCCGGCTCGGAATCCCTTATTTCGCTATGGTCCGGGTTGATTTTTGCGTGTAAAAACGTTTAAACAAGCGTTTATTTAGCTAGATTTTTTTCAGGAAAAAATTTTAGCCGTCAAGAAGGCTTGCCACGTTATTTTCACTTCATATTTGTAAGGTTGATTCCCACCGGAACCCTCCGAAAAGCCCAAAATAAATGAATTTTGCTACAACTCGAGAAACACTATAGCAATCGAGCTGTCATTCAGGATTGTGGTTATTTAGGGTCTGATACACCTCTGATACAATTTTGGGACTGATTGGATGTAATACGGCGAAATGCCGCATGGTGCTTTTTTTGTAGCGGTTTCTTTTTGTTTTTTTCGCCCTGTAGTCTGTAAGCTGTTCAAAAATGTGTATAAAGTGCATTTTCCTCAACAAATCGTTATATTTCAATTTTTATTACCTTTTCGGCGTGTAGCGCTAGTAATGCCAAGGGGGGAGAAAAATATGCGGGGGATGCCATGGGGAATTCGCATTTGAACGAGACTATCTGCGGGGGGCTGAAGCCAAAATATGTCATGTCGAAAACACGCAAAATCGGGTCATACAAATCTCAAAGTGCAGGGGAGGGATCGGGGCATAAATATTTCTCTGCTAAATGCCTAACAAATGAATGCCAAAAATAAAAAAAATGGGATTTTCGAGGGTAAAATAATTTGGTACTGGACTGTTAGCGCGGGGGGGGGTAATTTTTCCTTTTTTTCCATAATCCAGCAAAATATAACCCATTTTATAGCATTTTTCAGCTATAAACGCACTTAAAAAATTTGGTAAATTTCAAAAATACAAAAAGTATTGCATTTTCAAACTTTCTAGCAATAAAAAACTACTAAAAACACTGTTTAAGATATCAAAAAGAAGCGAAAAATAGAAATTTGGTTCCCCAGCTAACCCCCCGCTAATAGCCCAGTACCAAATAATTTTTAGAAATTTTCTAAAAACTCAAAAGAGCGTAGAAATGGGAGCTAAAAAGTGTCATATTCTCAGGGGGTGTGCTCGGATCACAGTATCGATTACAATGCGTTTGTAGATGGGAAAAATGCGAGGACTGAAAAATGCGAAAATTCGTGATTAGAATGGAGTCGAGTAGGGGGATGCGGGGGGGGGGGCTGGAGATCGCAAAATCTCTGCGTACGTGCCATAGAACTGCTCAAAAACACACACATTCACAGGAATTACATTAAAGGTATATAGCGTATTTGAAGGTCAGAAAATGGAAAGGATATGCAAAATTTCAGGGAGTTGGTTTTTGGGGGGTAAAGAAACATTCAATTCCCAGCTTTTTATGAAAAAGCAAAAAGCCTTGTCACGGCCGGGGGTCGAACCCGGGCCTTGCGCGCGGCAAGCGAACACAAAACCAATGAGCCAGGAGGCCTCTGGGATCGAGATAGGGCAGGCCCTCTTACCCCCAAGAGGGGTTTCCCACGCGTTAGGCAACAGACCCTGCCATTGGGAGGTGAATGTTTCGGTAAAGTTCAGAAATTCAAATTTTTAGCTGAAAAAATAGGAATAAATTTTTGCTCAACTTCACCACCCCTTTAAGACTCGGCTACAAGCAAAAAAAATGCGGAGAAAAACACAATAAGAATAAGCTCAAAATATTTGATGGGAGATGGGAGGGGAGAGCGGAAATACTGGGCTAACAAAAACCAGGTGAAAATACTGGGGCCGAGGCGTAGAATACTGACTTATCGGGCTGCTGGGCTGGGTGAGATTTCTGTGGGTAAAATACATGGTGTCGGGGGCTACGGTAGCCGGGGTGTTGTTTGTTGTCAAACGGAGGCATCGGCCAGGCCGGGGGGCTTGACGTCTTCAGCAGCTGCCACCGGGGATTCGGTGCTGGAGGATGGGCTTGGAGATTGACCCTCGGACCAGGAGCCTGAAAAGTGGAGGGTTAGAATTTTAATGGGCTGGCGGAGGCTGGGCTTGCGTTTAGGCTTAGGCTTCCTTAGGCTTAGGAGGCTCGGCTTAGTTTGAGGCTAGGCTTAGTCTTCAGCTCAAGATGCTTAGGCTTAGGTTGAAGCTTAGACTCAGGCTACATATCTTAATTTCAAATCCCTGTTGAGCACCAACTCCCCTGCCCGAAATCAGTGTCTCGGATCTTTGAGCAATATATTTCTTGGCCAATCCCCCGGGCCATTTGCGGTTTGTCGGGTTGGGCCTTAGGGCTAGGGAGAGAGCGAGAGACTGAGATAGAGAGAGAGAGAGAGCAAGTAAAAGAAAGCAATGACCATTCGAAGCGGGGCGAACAGTTGTTCCTAGTTGTCCAGATTGCCCGGGGCTGATAGCAGTCGATCAGTTGTCGCGGGGGCCCCGTTCATGCTCTTCCTCAGCTCACATTCCATCCATTTCAGGCTACGGTAGACACGGGTTTTCGGGTGTTTTTTGGGGCTTCCCAGGGTCCAGCAGAGAGTCGAGATCAATCAAGGCAAAAAGCAAAACGAATGCTACGGGTGGGATCGAACCCGGGGTCTTGGAGCGCGCGTCTAGCTCGCTAACCACTTGGCCAAGGTCAAGAATTGAAAAATGCTTTTTATTAGGTTTTTAATTATCCCCTGGCTAGCCATTTTTCGACTACTCGAGATTCCTGTGAACAGCCGGGCGAGCCGGGGGAGGGCCAGATAAGGGGAACATGGGCCCGGCCGTAAATCATGGCTGGAAAACCGGCCGGGGGGTGAAGCCGATATCTTGAACGGGTGGCTGATTGGCTGTAAAAGCCATGTATTCTCGGGCCATAAATATGCGCGTTGGTCCGGGCAAACATGGGATGAAATTGGGGAAGCGGTCCGGGGAAATCGGGTTGGCTTGGCTTGGGCTTCGGTTTAGGCTTAGGCTTCGGTGGGCCTGGAGATAGGTCTAAAGCTAGGCTTCGCTTAGGCTTAGGCTTAGCTTAGAATTATTCTTAAGCTCAGGCTTAAGCTCAGGCTCAGGCTTAGGCTTAAGCTTACCCCAAAGTCACTATCCCTTTAAAACCAACCCCCAGTGCCCCACAGCGAAATAGGGCACTTTTTAGCCCCCGCGTTCCGTTGAATACGCGCGGCTCCTTTGTACACCCCTCCCCCCTTCCCCGCCATAATTGTGTATAATTGTGCGGTAACCGGCTTCCCTCCCTGACTTTCAAGGAGGGTCAACTCCGAAACGCTACAAAGGACGCTACAAAGCAGACTACCGTAATCCCCCGGGGTCACCATTTAGGAACCTCTTCCCCCCTCGGGCATCTAAGCGGATTTTAGGAAGCGACGGCGGCCGAACACTACTCCCCCCACCCGTCGAAATGTATTATCAGCACTAATCCCCCTTTTTGCACTCCTTTTCTCAATTTCAGACCGGGCAACGCGACACTAAGCCGATTTATTGCCCCTCCGAGCAATCTGGTTGCGAAAAAGTAGACATTTTTCGGGGTGTAAAGAGGAATGTAGTGGAGTAGTCTTATGATAGCTAGCAAAGATTCTTTGGGGAATTGTGGGAAGGCTAGCAGAGATTCTTTGAGGAATTGGAGGGGCATGCTAGCAGAGATTATTTGAGGAATTGGAGGGGCAGGCTAGCAGAGATTCTTTGAGGATTTCGAGGGGCAAGCTAGCAGAGATTCTTTGAGGAATTGGAGGGACAGGCTAGCAGAGATTCTTTGAGGAATTGGAGGGGCAGGCTAGCAAAGATTCTTTGAGGAATTGGAGGGACAGGCTAGCAGAGATTCTTTGAGGAATTGGAGGGGCAGGCTAGCAGCTATTCTTTTGTGGAATTGCAGGGGGCAGGCTAGCAAAGATTCTTTGAGGAATTGGAGGGACAGGCTAGCAGAGATTCTTTGAGGAATTGAGGGGCAGGCTAGCAAAGATTCTTTGAGGAATTGGAGGGCAGGCTAGCAAAGATTCTTTGAGGAATTGGAGGGACAGGCTAGCAGAGATTCTTTGAGGAATTGGAGGGGCAGGCTAGCAGCTATTCTTTGTGGAATTGCAGGGGCAGGCTAGCAAAGATTCTTTGAGGAATTGGAGGGACAGGCTAGCAGAGATTCTTTGAGGAATTGGAGGGGCAGGCTAGCAAAGATTCTTTGAGGAATTGGAGGGGCAGGCTAGCAAAGATTCTTTGAGGAATTGGAGGGACAGGCTAGCAGAGATTCTTTGAGGAATTGGAGGGGCAGGCTAGCAGCTATTCTTTGTGGAATTGCAGGGGCAGGCTAGCAAAGATTCTTTGAGGAATTGGAGGGACAGGCTAGCAGAGATTCTTTTGAGGAATTGGAGGGGCAGGCTAGCAGCTATTCTTTGTGGAATTGCAGGGGCAGGCTAGCAAAGATTCTTTGAGGAATTGAGGGACAGGCTAGCAGAGATTCTTTGAGGAATTGGAGGGGCAGGCTAGCAAAGATTCTTTGAGGAATTGGAGGGACAGGCTAGCAGAGATTCTTTGAGGAATTGAGGGGCAGGCTAGCAGCTATTCTTTGTGGAATTGCAGGGGCAGGCTAGCAAAGATTCTTTGAGGAATTGGAGGGACAGGCTAGCAGAGATTCTTTGAGGAATTGGAGGGGCAGGCTAGCAGCTATTCTTTTGTGGAATTGCAGGGGCAGGCTAGCAAAGATTCTTTGAGGAATTGGAGGGACAGGCTAGCAGAGATTCTTTGAGGAATTGGAGGGGCAGGCTAGCAAAGATTCTTTGAGGAATTGGAGGGACAGGCTAGCAGAGATTCTTTGAGGAATTGGAGGGGCAGGCTAGCAGCTATTCTTTGTGGAATTGCAGGGGCAGGCTAGCAAAGATTCTTTGAGGAATTGGAGGGACAGGCTAGCAGAGATTCTTTGAGGAATTGGAGGGACAGGCTAGCAGCAAGGATTTAGCAAAACCTGGTCGAGTCAAATTTCAAAGTTTTTTTTTGGGGTTTTAAAGGCACATTCAAGGCCAAAAACCGACCGTTCAGCTGGGCGACGTTGGTCTGCTGCGGAGAAGCTTGTTGTTGGGCAGCAGCTGCGGCCGCGGCGGCCATCGCCTGCTGTTGCAGCAAAAACATCGGGTTCAGCAGCGGGAAGCCGGGCAGACCGGGCATCGGCCTGAAAAATGAGCATGAGCATGAGCAAGCTAGGCCTAGGCTTAGCGCTTATTTGAGCTTGAGCTCGTACCTATTCTCAAAAACCCTAATGCCTCCCCTTACCATCTACCATACCTGCCGAACTGTGGGGGCATCATTTGAGCTGGAGGCCCGGCTGCTGCTCCCCGTTGCATCATCTGCATCATCATCTGCTGGAAGGCGTACATCGGCCCGAACTGGTTGCCCATCTCCGGCTCGAGTTTTGGCTTTCTTGATGCTCCCGGGCCGTCCTGATCGTCGTGCTCCTCTGCCGCTCGAGCATCAACCACCTCAGGATCTTCTTTTTTGGCCTGAATATCGGCGATGCTCCAGATCTTCGACTTTTTCGGTGTGGGACCGTCGTGGTTGGGGGATTGTGGGGTGCGGGCGTCGCGGTTTGAGTTGTTGTTCGATTCGGAGTCTGAAAATTGGGTTTTGGAAGGGTTTAGGCAGACTAGAAAAGGTTTTTGAGGAATTTGAGCGTTGCGGGAACGTTAGCAGCAATTATTTGCGAAAATTTGACGAATAGGACCTACCATTCGGCCGTTTCCGGTTCTCCGAGTTGCTGATATCGGAGGTGGAGCTGGATGGCCGCTCGTTGACGTCAATCTCGTTGAGGTCATCCTAAAATTTGAGTTTAAAGGACCGTTGAAGGCGTCTCTCACATCATGATCGTCATCCCGTCCATCCTCATCAGACGGGCGACACCGTGGGTCCCACTCATTCTTGTGCTCCTTCTTCAGACGGCGACGGGCGTTGGCGAACCAGGTCGAGACCTGGAAACGGCCAAGGTTAGGCTTAGGCTTGGCTTAGGCTTGGCTTAGGCTTGGCTTAGGCTTGGCTTAGGCTTGGCTTAGGCTTGGCTTAGGCTTGGCTTAGGCTTGGCTTAGGCTTGGCTTAGGCTTGGCTTAGGCTTGGCTTAGGCTTGGCTTAGGCTTGGCTTAGGCTTGGCTTAGGCTTGGCTTAGGCTTGGCTTAGGCTTGGCTTAGGCTTGGCTTAGGCTTGGCTTAGGCTTGGCTTAGGCTTGGCTTAGACTTGGCTTAGGCTTGGCTTAGGCTTAGGCTTAGGTGTAGGCTTTGACCTACAGACATCTCTAGTGATTTTTACTGTTTCAATCCCTTTAAAATTCATGACTTCCCCGAAAACCAAGGTCCCGATTTTCAAACCTTCCCCAACCCGTAGCGGAGCAGCATCCAGGATACCTAATCCCCTCCACCCTGCCCAATTCTCACCCTTCTTTATTTTATGGACACCTACAGACAGACAAACACAGTTAGATAGACGACACACACCAATTTACGACCCATGTCCCCTCACACTCCGACAAATCCCTGATAAGGGTCGCTTCCGAAAAACGGCGCAAATCACTGCCCCACGGACACACCGGACCACTTTTTACAATGGCTTGTAAAGCGGGGAGGAGGAAAGGCGGGAGGGGGTACTGTAGTTGGGGCAAGATTCTAAGTACGGCCCTCTGGCGATTAGCATATATGGATCGGGTCCGTTAATTCGGATATTTCGGAAAGATTGTTAGGATTTTTATAATTTTACAAGTTTCAGAAAAATAATTTTTTTGGCAAAGCCACGTTTCGCGTTCAAATGTGTATATTTACAATAATAATCGGTTTTCTAGCAAGAAAATTAGCATATTTGGTCAATAAATCTCAAAAATGATTTGTTAAAATGCCTTTAAAAACTAAAATTTTCTCGCTACCGTAATTCTGGTTTTCTAAGGTAAAAATTAGCATAATTTGCGAAAGTAGGCTATTTTTTATGTTTTTCTCGACAAAAAGAATTTTTCGCTTCCTTAAATCCTCGAAATTTGCATAAAATATAGGCTAATTTCAATATTTTAGCTCTGTTTTACAAAAATCTTTTTTCCGCTTCCTCACCCCCTCGAAATTTGCATAAAAATGAAAATTACGAAGTATAGATGGGCTAAAAATTTCAGGCACTACAGTATCCCCGTCATTTTTATCGCTCAAATTTGCATAATCCCCTTCCCCCGCCGGCAGTGGCGTCAATTGGCATATTGCGGAATGTGTTGCCGAAATAGTCAATTGCCAGGCGGATACGATAAAAGGAGCGTTGCGCAATTTTTTTTGGGGACCCCCGAGGCTACGCGGCGATCCCATCCAGTACACGCGTCTACCGTCAGTTTCCGTCCATTAAAGGTGCCGCAACAGGATCGCTGTCAATTAACATGTCAAGCCCATTGACCCGAGCGGGTGTGCGGCACCCCCCACCTGTGCCCCCGGGCTACAAACAAATGCCCCCTGGCGCCTTTTTCGCGGCTACCCGCTACCAGTAATTAGCATTTTTCGGCCGGGTATCTGGGTGATTGGGATGAATACCCGGTGTTTGCTTTGGCTTACCGCCCAAATTAGCATATGGATCGGTGAATTTTGCGCAATTTTGCCTTATTTTTATGTTTTCCTTAGCTAATTTGCATCTGAGAAGCGGACGTTTCTGAAAATTTGCATACCCCATTAGGTTGAGGCTTTTTACGTTTCTTCTCGTCAAAGTGGACGCTATTTTAGGTAATTTGCATACCTAAATTGCAAAGGTTATACAGGCAAATTAATCCAGCAAATTATACAGGAATTTGTCGAATTTTTAGATTTTAAGGATCTAATTTGCATCTGAATTTGATGATTTTTGCGCCAATTTCCATTTGTCGATGTTTTCATTTTGTTGCTGATTAGCATACAGACCTTTTGGCGCTCTTAACCTAATTAGCATATCAACATCTAATTAGCATACTGCGATTGCTTAGGCTAATTTGTATATGAAGAGTAGCGATTTTAAGGGATTCTATTTCAATAGGCGCAATGTAGAATTTTTGTGTAATTTGCATACCTAAATCCTCGATTTTTCGCCATAATTTGCATTTCTAATTTGAATCCAAGCCCCGGGGATTCAAACGACTTGTTGGGTGAGGCGGAGGGGGCATTTTGGGTGGGGTTTGTCGAGTCGAGTAGTGAGTGGTGATAGCATCGGGGCGTAGTCTTTTTGGGGGGCATAGACAAACCCCCCACAGCCAATTCTTCGTTAAACCTTATAGAGGAGAGAGAGAGCGAGAGAGAAAGAGAGAGTGAGAGAGATTTGTGAGTGCTAAGAGCTGTCAACATGGGCCTCCTTTGACTCGGCACCGCTCCTGCTCCTTTGGACGGGGTGCGCTGATCGGGCCCGTAGATACTGGACCAATCTGAGGGGTCGAGGAGGCTGTGTTTCCGGCACACACCCCTTTACACACACCCTCATCATTGGAGAGAGACAGAGAGAGAGAGAGAGAGAGAGAGAGAGAGGGAGAGAGAGAGAATTTTAGCACCTATTTAAAAACAGAGAGCAGCGGTGAATGTTTTGATTTGGGGATTGTTATCGGTGTCAAATCTGGATAGGTAGATGGACAAAAGAAAATGCTAGCGTTTCCGCAAAGAATCTTTGCTAGATGTTCCCCTTAAATCCAAAAAAAATTCCGCAAAGAATCTCTGCTAACCCACCCAGGGATTAAAGTTTTAAAAGGACGTTAAACGTATAAACTCGACTTAGGGCTGGCTTAGGCTTAGATTAGGCTTATGCTAGGCTTGAAACGCTCACCTGTGTCATGGACATCTTGGTGACGACGGCCAGTATGACCTTCTCCTGCTTGCTCGGATACGGGTTCTTCTTGTGCTCGTGCAGCCATGCCTTCAGCGGTGCTGTCGTCTCCCGTGTCGCGTTCTTCCTCCTCTCCCCATTCATACCGTAACCCGGGTACATCCCGTTCACGAACATCCCCATATCACCGTCGCCGAGGCCCTGCAACTGAAAGTTCTTTTCTTGAATTAGAGGTATTCTCCATTTTTTGTTGACCATTTTATACCTTTTTTAGAGCAAAAATGACTCCTCTCTGCTCCAAAAACTACAGTATCCCCCCGGAAAATGACCGATTTCCGGATTTGCCCCCCGGTCCCCCCGGAGCGCGCGCCCAAATCCATCATGCGGAAAGATAACATTGCAACAAGTCAATCCCCCCCTTCTACGGGATCTGTGGATAGGATGGGTGCGGAAATGATCGCCAAGGTCACGTTTCCGTCAAGTGTCAAGTGGAGTGTCGCGTAGTGTCTTGTCTAAGGGGATGAAAAAGGTATCTGCTACTAGTTAGGCTTGGGTTTAGGCTTAGGCTTGGGCTTAGTCTGCGCTTAGGCTTGGCTTTGGCCGGCTTAGGATGGGCTTAGGATGGGCTTAGGATTGGCTTGGGCTTGGCTTAGGCTTCGATTTAGGCTTAGACATAGGCTTAGCTCCAGGCTTAGCCTCAGGCTCAGCTTAGGCTTAGCTTAGGCTCAGCTTAGGCTTTCTTAGGCTTAGCTAATCAGGATTAGGCTTAAAAATATCCTCCATATATCGCGATCCCCGTTTTTGCCGACCCCCGCCCAGCAACAAAAACTGACGAAGGTCAAATGTCCGTTGTGTGGCGGAGTGTCGCGTAGTGTTGTGTGAGTCTTGTCTCGTGCTCCCCCCGCCCGAAAGAGTTATGCTAACTGAGGACTCTAAAAAGGGAGCTGCAGCTCCCCTGTGAAAACAGTGCTCTCCGAGGCGCGCGACAAGGTCAACTCGCCCCAGACCTCATTAATTAAAAGTTGCCGGGCCGGCGGAAACTTGGGTGTGTGTGTTTGGGATAGGGGTTTGTTCTCGAATTTGGCGGAAGGAATTGAATCGGGAAAAAGGGGAATTTTTGTGAAGAAATTTCCCCCCCCCCTTCCCCCAAAAAATTTGTGGTCCCCCCCCCCACTCCCTCAAAAAAAATTTGCTTTTCTTTTTCTTTCCCCCCCCCCCCCCCCCCCCCCCCCCCCCCCCCCCCCAAAAACCCCCCCCCCCCCCCCCAACCCCCCCCCCCCCCCCCCCCCCCCCCCAACCCCCCCCCCCCCCCCCCCAACCTCCTAAAATCCCATAAATTCTCTCTGTTAGCCTGCCCCTCCAATTCAGCAAGAATCTCTGCTAGCCTGCCCCTTTAGTTCCTCAAAAACCTCTGCTAAGCAGCCCCTCTAATTCCTCAAAAATCTCTGCTAGCCTGCCGCTCCAATTCCTCAATAATCTCTGCTAGCCTGCCCCTCCAATTCCTCAAAAATCTCTGCCAGTTCCCCCCTATAATTTGCCGTCCCCCACAAATCGTAGATTCCAGGAGCGATGGTTGTGTATTCGACGGGGGTATTGAGCTGGAAATCGAGCAGGGGGGCGAGAATCTGTTTGCTCAGGCTGCGGGACACGCGTGTGAAGCTTCTGGTGTTGGGGGAAGCTGCTTCTTCCCCCCATCAACCACACCCAATAGCCATCTCCCCTCCCCATCCCCCATTCAACACTCTATAGGTCGCCCCCGCCAGCTACCGTACCCCCAAGGTGTGCGCGGGGGGGGGGTAGTGTTAACGAGTCCGACGATTCCCCACACCAATCAACGTCTATCGGGGGATAGCTTGGGATTGACATCATCTGTGGTAATTTGAGAATAAGGGGTCAAAGCTTGTGCTTAGGCTTCTGGATTAGGCTGAGACTTAGGGTTTAAATTTTCAAGGAAAATTCCAAATGGCCTCTGCTAGTTTGCCTGCGTGTTAACATTTCCGCAAAGAATTTCTGCTAGCCCTCCCCAGAATTAGAGATTCCGAAAGAATCTCTGCTAGCTTGCCGGAAGATCACAAATTCCTCAAAGAAACTCTGCTAGCGGGCTCGAAGAACCCGAGATTCCACAAAGGATATTTGCTAGCTCGCCCGAAGAATTCGAAATTCCCAAAAGTGTCTTTGCTAGCTTGCCGCAAGCACAAAAAAATTCCGCAAAAAATCGCTGCCAGCCTACCTTGAGGATGAATCCCGCAAAGAATCTTTGCTAGTTTGCTCTGAGGTATGGGCGGCTCTTTCTGAGTGCCAATCCTTTTAAAATGACCCGTTGCCAATTATGGATGAGCGCTGATCTACTGTGCCTTCCTGATCCCTTTAAGACTCAATCCCACCCCGAAAATCTCGATAGCATAATTTCCTCATTCCCCCTACCAGAAGCTCGTATCTATTTTCACGGGCCGTTTAATCTAACACAGCGACAGACACAAGATGGCCCCCCTTTGGGCCCCAAGAGACGACGCGTTGAGCACATCCATTTAAATGCTAATTAAGAGCGAAACGGGGGCCTAGGGGGTGGCCCGGTTGGCTATTATCGGTTGGAAGGGGGGGGGAGAACCCCCCTTCCAACACACCGGAAAAGCGCCCCTCCTCACAATTTCCATTAACCCGTGTTTTCACCCATCGCGGAATTCGAGGCGAGGGGGGGGGGGGGGGGGGGGGGGGGGGGGGGGGGGGGGGAGAGTGAGAGAGAGTAGCGTATCAACATTAGCCGCTACAGTAGCTTGCTCTCTCCTGATGACTAGCTAGAGAGAGAGCGAGTGAGAGAGAGAGAGTGAGAAATTCTGGTAAAGGGAGAGATATAGGTAAAGCGATAGAGAGAGAGATAGAGAGAGCGCGAGAGAGGGAGAGAGAGAGCGGGAGAAAGAGAGAAAAACCTTGAAATCAACATACCATTGGCATAGGCGGGAACGGGCACAGCGGGGTCGGCATCGGAAATCCGGGTGGCAGCAGTGAGAGGCCGGCGGGGAGGTTGGCAAGGCCCTAAAAAGTTAAAAATTATCTCTGCTAGCTTGCCCTTGTCTGAACACTTCCTAAATGTTCTCTGCTAGCTTGCCGTTATTTTAAAAGCTTTCGAACGTATCTACTGGTTTTCTATAGTCTGAAATCCGTCCAAATTGTTCTCTGCTAGCCTGCCCACCGACTTGAACACCCCAAACCCACCTGGAACAGCGGCCCGTTGGCCGCCAAATATCGAACGGTATCCCCGACGTCCTGGCGATCCTTGATCGGTGTGCTCGGCGATTGAGAAGCACCTAACAGCTGGTTCGGGTTGAAGGGGAACGCCATCCGGCCGATAGAGAACAGCAGGGATCGGCTTTCTGGGGTGGATGGGTCGCCTGCAAAAAATTAGGATTTAATGAGGTATTTTTACTTTAAAAAGTATTGAATAAAAATATGAAAACGTCGAAAAAGAAAAATAGATATTGGAAAGTATCTTCGGAATTAAGCTACCGGTATCGGTTGAAAAAGCTTGAAAACGAGAAATAGCAAAGAAGTAGAAGAGAAATAAGTCGATGCTGAAGCTTAGGCTTAGGCTTAGGCTTAAGGTAGTATCAGGCTTAGGTCAAGCTTAGGCCATGCTTTGGCTCAGGCTTAGCTTAGGCTTAGCTTAGCTTCGGCGTAGGCTTGGCTTAGGCTTAGGCCAACGGATAACTATCGACAACCAATGATGTCCCAACAAGCATATTAGTGTCGGTCCCATAAAAGACGGGGCGTGGCCGGTTTTTTGTAGCCCCCAGGATACTCGGCAGCCCTCATCCACCAGGTGGTTATGGTATGCAAATTGTCCGGGGGCCACGGTTCACAGCCACCGACACACACATCCGCCGGGCCACGCGCCCGCTCTTGGGCAGGTGGGGGGTGTTGAGGGGAGCTGGGCATTTGTATTCTCAGGGTTTGGGAATTACTGGGATGTAATTTTAACACGTGTAATAGTGGTAGATACCTACATTCCCACGCCTAGGGCTAGGCTTAGGCTTGGCTTAGGCTTGGCTTAGGCTTGGCTTAGGCTTGGCTTAGGCTTGGCTTAGGCATAGAGTTAGGCTCAGGTTTACGCCAGGGCTAGGTTGGGCTTGGGCTTAGGCTTGGCTTAGGCTTGGCTTAGGCTTTTCTTAGGCTTCGCTTACTTAGGCTTCGTAGACTTCGCGTAGGCCTCGCTTAGGCTTAGGCTTGGCTCAGGCTTAGGCTTAGCCCAGACTTAGGCTTCACTTGCACTGACAAATATCCAGTTTTTCGGGGGGATGTAAACTTAAAGCCAGCCCGGCCGACAGTTAGTTGATGCGATGGGGGTGTAAACGCGTGTCAAGCGATCGGATAGAGCTCTCTATCCCCCAACCCCCAATCCCACCCCCGGTCAATGTTTATCATTTGCACGACGCGCGTCAACATTTAGGGGGGGATGGCGGTGGATGATAGAAGGACACGGATGGATACAACTATCACATGACACCTTGTGGAATGAGGAGAGAGAGAGAGAGAGAGAGAGAGAGCGAAGACGTACAGCTCTATAAACTTCAATTCTGAGCTGAATTCACCTTTCCACACCGCTGGGTGTAAACAGCAATCCGGCGTACATCTGCCCCTTTGGCTAATGCGCTTGAAACTGTCACCCCAGTGTCGGACAGGGCTTATAATCCCATAAGACGGACCCCTAATCGGCTCGCTCTGATAGAGGGATGGGTCCGGACCTGTCGGAATTTTGAAAGTGAAGTTCCTAAAGGAAATTTGCTAGCTTGCCCGGGAAATATCTCTCGCTCTGTCGCTCTCGTTCTCGTTCTCTCTCTCTCTCTCTCTCTCTCTCTCTGTCTCTCTCTCTCTGTCTCTCTCAGTCGCTTTTTCTCGCGCTCTCTCGCTCACTCGCTATCACCCGCTCTCTCTCTATAAGTCGCTCTCTCTCGCTCTCTCACTCTCTCTCATATTCCGCCGGCGTGAAATGCAATGTTTGTGGATGGATCTGGGATTGGGGGGCTTGACGGATATTTGGCGCTCTTCCCCCCGCTATCGTACGGCAACCGGTCCATCCATCCATCCAGCTATAAACACACAGACACAGACACACTCCCCCTTCGAATTTGGTCACAAAAAGAGCATTATCACCCCCCGATCGCATCATCCATCTCTGTTTTTGGGATCCATTCCCGCCAGGGGTTTTCGGCTCGAAACCGGGACCGGAACAAGAATTTGATAGATGGAGGGAATGAATCGAGCTTTTCGTTTGAGCATTGGCAGGAGGTGCTGAAGAGCCGAAGGGCAGGCTAGCAGAGGTCAGTTGAGAAACATTTTGGGGCGCAACCTCGCCCGCCTGAGCTACCTGACCTTGGCCAGCTAGCAGAGATCATTGGAGAGTCCAAAACGACGGGTTGGATAGGGCAAGCTAGCAGAGATTCTTTACTGTCAAGGTGAGATGCAGAGAAAACTAGGGAAAAGGACAGGCTACCAAAGATCATTGGATTGGACGTAGTGTGTCCTAGAGAGAGGGGAAAAGAGAGGGCAGGGAGGGGAGAGGACTGGCGAGGAGGGAGAGCGAGATAGAGAGAGAGAGAGAGAGAGAGAGAGAGAGAGAGAGAGAGAGAGAGAAAGCGATAAACAGATCAAGAGAAAAAGAGAAAACACCAAAGCTAAAGATGACCTCCGTGTCTCCACACGACACGTGTGAATTGGAATAGCAATCGCGTGGCGTGGGGGAATATCTGTCAGTTTGTCAGTCAGTTTGTCTGTCTACCAGTGCTTCTTTCGCAGGGCTGAGATACAGGGGATGGAAACGGTAGTGTTGGCTGATGGATGGGGGTGGGGGGGAGTATGAGGAGGTGAGCACCACCAGCAACAATTTCTATCCCCCCCCACGAATCGCAAGTCAGGAAAAACGATGATTTGGCGCCGGGCCCGATGGTTTGCCGGAGCTACTTTTTTGGGGGGAGGGGGATAAGAAAACTGTGCTAGCTTGCCTGGTTTTCCCTAATTCCCCAAAGAATCTTTGCTAGCTGGCCCAGAGCTGGTAAATTTTCCTCGAGAATTCCAGCAAGCCTGCCTAATTTTTTCGCGAATTTCAAAAGATCTCTGCTAGCCTGCTGGGAGCAAAATGGAAAAAACTGGAGCAACACTTGGATTTGCATAATTTAAGAGCAATTCTTCAGGAAAGCGTGAGAGAGCGAGAGAAGGAGAGAGTTATAGAAAGAGAGAAAGAGTGATAGAGAGAGTGAGAGAGAGCAAGTGAGGGAGAGAGAGAGAGCGAACGAACGAGAGAGAGCCTGAGAGAGCAGGAGTTGTAACGCAATTCCTTAGTTTGCATAAGCACTAATTAAAACCACTGATTTCCTTGATCAGTCCAAAACACAGGGGAATTAGCCGGGGGAGTGATTTTCACCCCGGAACCGGAATTAGCAGCCGGTTGGAAAATCGGAATTTTTTAGGTGTCAAGAGCGGGCGAGAGAGATAGAGAGAGAGTGAGAGAGAAAGAGAGCTAGAGTGAGAGAGAGAGAGCGAGTGAGAGAGACTCCCATATACAGATAGACAATGCTGGTGCCATATAGATTGAGGCTCACCCAGTGAGGAGCCCGGGCCGGGGTGAGCCAAAAAGGGGGCGGAGCCTGAGGTCCCGGGGCGGACAAGGTGTGTGTTGTGTGTCGGAACACTTGTCGGACACGCCGGGGGACTAGGGATTAGGCCACGCCCCCCGGCAGCCAACCCCCGGACCGGCTACCGTAGTCCTCTCTCTTTCTCTGTGGCCACTACGCCCGACTACTCAATGACATTCATCAAACAGGGGGAGAGGAGCAGCAGCGGTGAGGCTCCGGGACCACACCCCGTAATTTGTTGAATCGAGGTAGTGGATCTATGGGGTGGGTAGGCTGGCTTAGGCTTTGTAGCTTGTAGTTTAGCGGATTCTAGGTTTTTGGGGTATCTGCACATTAATGAGAGCGAGGATAACTATCAGGAATACTAGAAAAGTGCAAAAACGACGTTTTCGGTTTTAAAGGGACTCGCAAGGCAAAAATGTTGATTTTGTAGCTTGTCTTTTAACGGGGGTTTAGGCTATAGGGACTGTAACAGTAAAAATTGTAGTTTAAAACTTAGAAAAGACCTTTAAAGGACCGTTTAAGCCAAGTTTCCCTTAGATTACGCCAGTTAAAGAAAGTACTAAAACCCAGAGGAGCACGAGCAGAAGCGCAGAACCTACAAACCGGCGCCCATCTAATGTCTAGGTGATGAAAAATGGGGGGCAAACCGAGTCCGCCATGCTCCAATTGACGACTCGTGGAGACCGTATGCCGAGAAGGGAGCATCAACCCCCCTAATAGCCGCAATTATCTGCTACCACAGCCATGTAGTGAAGCCTCAAAACTTGTGAATGAGGGGGAAGTAGATAAATTGGTGTCGGTGTCCTTTTAGAAGGGGTTTAAAGGGTCGTTGAAGTGGACAACTAGGAAAGGCTACAAATTACAACCGGCCCTGGTTACCGTAGATTCGGGATCGACATAATCCCGGAAAAACGCGAGGACTACCCCAAAATTGGCCTCAATCATGAGCGAGAGAGCGAGAGAGCGAGAGAGAGCGAGAGAGAGAGCGAGCGAGAAAAACGAGCACGAGCGAATTGTTCCACTTGTCAATTGTCAGGCGGGGGTTGTCAAATTTGAGGGGCGATCCCTATAACTTGCCCCTTTCACTGCCCGAAAAGGACAGCCGGGAGTAGTGTAATAAGCCTAGGCTTGGGCTTAGGCTTAGGCTTGGCTTAGGCTTCAACTCAGGCTTAAGTCCCTAGTTTTAAGCGAATTTCCGAAACCTGAAGCTTTTACCCCATCCGGTAGCCCCGAAATTCGCTTCAAATCCCGGATTTTATAGCCTGTTTCAGGGCCCACTGCCCGGCCGGCGAAAACACCGATTTCGGGGGGCCCGGATTGGGGTTTTCGGGCCGGGGATGAGTAGTAAGAGGGGGAGGAGGAGCAAGTGGAAACTACTAATTGCACATCGTAAAATGCGAATGCCCAGATAGAGCGAGAGAGAGAGAGAGAGAGAGAGAGAGAGAGAGAGAGGGAGAGATTTGTCGTCGATTCTGGCGCTAGTTGTAAAACTGCTTGTAAAAGTGGTGGTCGGCGAGCTGGTACTTGTTGAAGATGTTTTGTAGGGAATCTTGGAGTAAGAAGAGCAGAAAATCATGGTTTTTAGAATGTGAATTATTTTGAGGCTCAGACTTGGCTTGGGCTTAGTCTTTGCTCAGGCTAGGGTAAGGCTGAGAATCAGGCCGAGGCTCCGCTCAGGCTTAGGTCTAAGCTTAGGCGTGAGATTCGGCT